ATAGAAGTAACTTTTCCATATGCTTAGGAAATTATTCAAAGCACCATCAAAATATGTGAGACATAAAAGGGATAAACAAAAGTCATCTTAAAAGCGATTGTTAAAAAAAGTTGAAGTATTTCGTTTCTTTTTTTAAAGGAATCATTTTAATGAACTTTATTTATTTTCCGATGAAGCCGTAACTTGAGTATACGGGCGTTATCGTACAGAGGGTTCTGTATAGTAATATTTTATTTTACGTTACATAATATCTATGAATTACAGTGGCAAGTTAAGATTGCCCCCTTGTACTTAGATACCATATATTATATCAATAGTCTGTATATCAATAATGCATAGGTAGCTCTAAGAATTGGAAAGGATAATTTTATAAAAATATGAATGGATACGATATTGTGTAGGAAAATTGTCTGCTATTTTTAATTAACTTTTTCCCTAAACTCATCTCCTCTTGCTTTCCTTTGAGACGCTTACATTCATTGATCTTCTCTCTAAACCCACACACGCAGCACGCGTACACGTATGCGATTCAGTGAGAGCGGTCGCGAACATCCGCCGGATATCCGCAAGTATGCGAATTCCAATCCCTTTCATAAATATATTTAACAATACCTTAAAGCTAAGAGATCAGATTTGATAGTAAGTATCGTTAAAATGATAAGCAATCAAACGGCGAAACTCAAATGTTTAACAAAATCAAACTTGCGAGTTATATTTGTTGTATCAAATCTAAAAATAAAATACAGCTCATGACCAAAAGAGGTGAAATTTTATTATACTCAATTTCTAATTCATTGTAATCGATAGGAAATTTCGTCAGCTTTTCGATAGTGACTTTAGATTTTTCGAAACGTTGTATTTTCACCGAAAAAATCGCAATTAAACATTCAGAACTAAATATCTCGAAAAACTCAGGAAAAAAATGAAATTGAAGGTTTATATTTTATTTTTCCGTATAACAATTAAAATAATTGGGAAATCTGACAACACCATGAGAAAGATGAAAAAATTTCTTATAGAAAACATATTTTCATTTATTTTTTGAAAGGTTTTACGAGCGAATTTCTGTAACTCTATTCTCTTTTCTCAATTTTCATAACGAAAAATAAACCTTCAAGTTCATTTTTTCGGTACTGAGTTTTTCGAAATGTTTAGTTCTAAATGTTTTTATGTCGATTTTCTCGGTGAAAATACCACTTTTCGGGAAATTTGATGTCACCATCAAAAAATTGAGGAAATTTCCTAAAATTTTCAGAGAATTTGACATTTTAAGTTAACTATATTCACAAGATACATAAAATGTTGTACAGATAAGTGCAGAAACTTAGTATATTTTTTAAGTTTTGCGAGAATTAAAATAAGTGAGACATAAATGTTCAAGTGAGACTCATAAATACAAGAGAAAATAAAAACGCTTGCCGTGCACATGCTTTATTTCTTCTTGAAGTCGCACGCGTACTCATCTTATGCCCTTCGCATGTGTAAATATAAATACACGTTAAAGAGCACAAACATATGCAAAGACGTCCATGAAAAGAACTTAATCAAGAGACTACGAACGCGTATGCCTTCAATTTGAGCTCATAACTTATGGCCAACCAAGTTACGATGAATACGAAAATATTTGAACTTTAAGAACTGGCGAAAATAGTATAAACGTCTTTTAAGTTTAAGTATTTTCATACTTGACACTTTAGCTTTATTTTTCTTCGAAAAATTAACTCACATATGTGTGAGTGTATGAGTGTGCATGGTCTTTTAATGTGTTAAACTACACATTTATCTTACGATTTTTAGAAACGTTTTTTTAGTTAAATCCTAAATTAAATTCTAATTTAAAAAATTTTTTTAAATTTAGTTAAGTACGGATTGTATAGGTCATGAAAAGTGAAAGTTTTCGAATCATATGCGCACTCACCTCTAATGTATTGAAATATTTTAATAAATGTGTTACACACAGTGAAGCTACTCGAATTAACTGTATAAAATCATAGGTGCTTTAATTTATCGTTGGCAATCATCAAGATGATGAGAATACAAGTACGTACATGCAAACTTTTTATACTAGTCGCAACTGCTATGATTTTGTCTGCCAGATTTGATCTGTGAAATTACAATCGCATCAGCTATTAATTATAATGCATTCTTTAAGAAACGGCTGCAGAATTGAAAAAACAATAATTTTAAATGAAAAGAATTAATTATTTAACAATTCTATAATTGATTTGTGTTATTACGTTGAATTGTTATTGATGAAACAATTAGTTGCCAACTTCTCATAATTTTTAGAATAAGTTTATTATTTTTGGAACCGAAAAAGTACATGATAGCTTTTTTACTGAAAATTGTTCAAAACATTTTTGAATGGTGCCATTCAACTTTTTGCAGTAAAGCAAGCAGTCTGAAGAGAAATAAAAGAAAGACTGTAAGCTTAACGAGCTGATAATGATCAAATAATATATGGGTCAAAATAATGAATTTTTGAAATTTCGCCCGCACGTATCTCACTGATCTTGAGGCGCTTTTGATATGTTATATATATGTTATAGTACATGGTAAAAGGGCCAGAATTTTAGACCCCCACCTTCTCTATAAAGTCTATTTTCTATCTATATTTTTTCTGATGTTCTGAAGCAATTAAAATATCTCAAAAAAGGTACATTTCACAAACCAAACAATCTTGATTTTTTTCAGATTTTTCAATTGAAGGCGATAGAGTCTTAAAAAATGTTGGTCTTTCCCTTTTTTTGATTTAGGCCTCCTAGCTCATTCTTGGAGTTTCGAATAATTAATTTATCTAAGAACGGCTACATGGCTCACTGAAAAATGTTTTTTTAAAGTTCCTGTTAAAATTACAGCTCAATCCGTTAATAGTTCCAGAGATTTTTGTCCTTTAGTGTCGAAAAATTTTATTTCGTGAAAAACGCTTTTCAAGTTTTTCTTGTCTATTTGGCTTTAGTATAAAGCGATGTAGAAAAATTCTAGAATAAATTATAGCGTAGGATAATCGATTTATAAATATATGGAATGGAGAAAAACTCTAATACACTTGGGGTATTGTAAAACAGAAATTACCCTGTCGAAGATAAATGTATAACACACGTGCTGGTAGTCTACGCCAGCATTAAAGGCCACCAATATGTCAAAAATATTTGAAAAAATATCGCACATGAATAAACCGGAGAGTCTGCGTTTTTGATAGTACTTTCTTAACGTCTCTACTATAACGGTATGATTTACTTAAATTATGTGAGGCGTATTGCAAATGCACACACCAAGCCGAGCGGGCATAGTAATCTGCTCGATAAACGTTACTATGAAAGCCCATATTATAAATAAACTCCTCTTTTTCATCGTTAGTGAGATAATTTCCATGGATTAAAATTTTCTGCAGTGTCTCACTGGTATAAGGTAACGATTAACCGCATTCATTTCCCTGCACAGCGATGATGGTCGGGTAATAATAGTCAAACTGTTTCAGAAATACTACTGTGCAGTATTAGAATTTTAAATTTTAAAATGATGCTCAAACTACGTACTCTAATAGAAAGTACAATTAGTTTTTCGGAGTAATCGGGGTAAAAAAAAATAAAAACAACGCAACAGCAAAATGCTGAATAATTTTACACTTGGACCTCGTCAAACGCGATCGGAGTGAAGTAGGTGATGAACTAAGAAAATCTAGAATTTGCCACGTGTCATTTTTTCTTTGCTCAGCTCCTTCACTTTGCCGGTTATGCATCGCTCCAATCAATTTGTTTGACGAATGTTTTTTTTCATTTGTGTATACTTGTCGCGAATATCAGAGGGGTCGACGCTCCTTTGAGTTAAATTTCAAAAGCGTTTTCATTACACTTTTTCATCTTCGTAACTTTACGAGGCACATTGCAATAAATGTAATTTTAAATATAATTATTTTTAATCGACAAACTATGACGCTGATTCGAGATACTTTTACGAAGGATGTCACGAGGATATCCGAAAAGTAATAAGCTTTTGAAAGTATTAATCAATTTCATAAGCAAGTTGTGTCGTTTGAAGCAGTCTCACAATAGCAACGTCAGTGCATCGGTGACAAAATTAGCTCATGCAATGGCTTTGAGTTGTCATTGCATGTGTGCTTATAATACATACAGACAGTATAAGAGCTACACACGCAGCAAAGCTATAAAAAATCCAATCTTCTCTCGGCTCTCTATACGCTAAATCCAGTCAAGCCAATTAAAGCAAAAAGTTTGTGCTGCGCTAAGGCCACAAGGGGGAGAAGAATTGCAAGCATAAGAGATAAAGAGAGAGAGAGAGAGAGCATCGCACCTACAGCCGCGTCTACTATTCATCTCCCTCAACTTATGGATTAAGTTTTAACATGAGCTGTCATATAGGTCTATACGCATTTATATGTGCACATACATACGCGACACGTGACTCTGTTTACTGCGTTTCGCACTCGGACCCTTGCGAGATTTACTAACTAAAATTTAATTGAGGGATAACCCAGTAAATTAACGAGCATGAGGTTTTCGTATTGAGAAAAAGCTCGCCGTGACATAAACAGGAATGACATAACTATGACTTTTGCCTGTCTAATGGTTTTTTTATTTTTAATGTGTAGGGGTTTCGAGCCAACATACCCTTTTTTCTCAACAATGCGCACTCCCAACGCTCAAGATAAATGCACTGAAGCAGACTTAAAGCAAGGAAGTACTCTTCTGTAATTTTTTTCTTCACACCACCAGTTAGACGATAAATTGTATACTTCTTTGATCTTCGCGCCATGAAATTCGAGACGGCACATTGTTTGATTTTATTCTAATGCTACAGTATTATCTATTCATACAAATTATTTCGAAACCGTTTAAAATAATTCAATATTACATTAAATGCTAAGCAAAGCGTTCCTAAACGTGAAGAATAAAATTAAAGGTTAGCACGCGAATACGATGACCTTAACTGATAATACTAAAAGTAGATTAAATAAAGAGTGTCATGTTAATACTTACTCATTCCAGAGCCGACATATTCGTATAAAAGTGAAGCTACAATGTCTTCGGTGGCTCTTTCCCAAAAGCCGTCACAAGCGACTATCAGAAAATCTTCGGTCCCATCTAATTCTACTTTTATTACGTCGGGCTCTTCCGTCACCCATGGTTTGTACTTGCAGTCTCCTGTTAAAAAAAAATACTGCTTTAAATTTCTCATGTTTTTGAAAATTATTACCGAAAGCTCTTAAATAAATACTCAACCCTTTCGAAAAAAGGCCTTTTTCATGAAATACTTCTAAAATTTTTTTGAATCTATTTAAGAAGTTAACAGGTTGCAGAAACTTTGACAGATAAGGTAAGATTCAATTGTATTCTAACATAATTATTTCGTTGGATAAAATGCATCGTTATAAAAAAAAGTTGGGGGCAATTCAAATAACTAATAATGTTATAGTGATAAAATTGGACTTTGAACCTGCAAATCTTAATTTACTTAAATCGACGATTCAATTAGAGAAATACTTTTTTACATACCAGCGACCCGAAAGTAGCATTTCCCGGCCGCTGCGCTAAACGGGATATTGCTATTTTCGGGCCTGGGGTATGTAAAATCGTATACTGGCCTATACCGGGAAAAAAGAAAGCCTCAGTGCACGTGCTAATCGACCTCGGCTTTGCCTCGGTTGCTTATTTCACGTGCCCTGGGGCTTTTCTGTTTTTCCCGGCCTAGGGCAGTAATATACTATTTGTGAATAATGTTGGTGACAATCAATATGAGTATTGAAACTGAAAGGACAAGGCAATATATCGTAAACATGTCAATTTGCCATAGTCCAGAGTAAGTGACATAAAATTAACACTGATTCGCCGTATACATAGGTCTGCAGGCTGCATACAGCGAACTTGATCAGATACGTTATTTGTACGCGATTAAATTATAGTCTTCGAGAAAGCAAACTTGCAGCCGATAGGCGCATTTGCTCTCGTACGCTAACCTATGTATAAGTTTTAAGTTTAATTATTTTTCGCTGAGCTATGACGAAAGATTGACGAGCACTGTATAATATTATAAACAACGGGGGATTTGTTTAAATTTGATTGTGTTACATGTTTTTCAACTCTCAAAATGTACTTAAAAGAGTACACAATTTTTAGCGAGTGCATGTATTTTTTCGCTTATCATTACTCAAAGCGGACACATTCTAGAGATTTGCCCATATGTAATACATAGCTCAGTGTAATATGGTATTACGAGTACATTATTCAAGTTCGCGCAATGATGCAACGAGGCAGCAGTCAACTCAGCGTACTGTCATTTAATATTCACTTGCGCCACTCAGTCCCTTATGATACTCTTTCATGAAGCACATGAGCTACAGAAAAGATAGCATATAAGTGCTTGTGCCACGCTTATGAAGCGCGAACACGCCTACATGATATTAAACGAATGTTTGGCTTACTCTTCTACCGACCCAACGATCTCTTGCAAACTTATAAATCCCTCACTTTACAATTAACGATCCGTTATTAATCACCCAGTAGAAATAAAATAACACACATTAACCGCTTAATGTTGAATGAATCTGCTCTCGAAAGTAGAATGAGTGTTTTCGTTCCTCTACCACGCGTACAACAGCAATAGAACCACCAACAAAAACAACAATAAGAGTAACAACAACAACAACAAAATGCCGTTGCGTGCTTCATTGTGAAGATCGTAAAGTATACGAGACTTTTCATGTAAGCACTGACGTTCCGTTATCACGAAGATTAATTTAATAACATCTAAAGAGGCAAAAGTAAAAGCTGCTTTATACAGATGCAACAACGATATCCTATAGCTATGGTCTTCATTTGCAATATGGCTGCAACAGAGCTAGATCATGTGTATTCGGCTATTACCATTGCTCGCGATCGAAGTGGTTTTCTCGTTAAAATAGGCAGCGCATCTTAAAAAATTTCCAGCTAAACCCCAACTCACAAGGCGCTATGAGCCGGCATTGCATTTGACTGCGTCAATTAGTTCTACGCTGCTTCGAGTTTGTTTTGAAAGTATCTTCACCAGTGACATTGTTTACGAACATCAACGAGCAGAACGAAAAAAAGTTCAACAATCAAAGACGCGACATATTTTTCCATTTTCAAATAATTAAAGATTTTCATTTCAACACTTACGCAGATGCGAATATATTAATAGTCTGCGTAACATGTTTATTTTCAAGTAATTTTTTTTTATCGTTTTTCCAAACGATGAAACAATCAATAAGATTTTTGAAAAAAATAATAATAAGTTGACAATGTATGATCGAAAAGAGCTACAACAAAAAATGATATACTACTACTGTGGCCACACCCTATGTGACTTGTGGGGGAAAATTTAATACTCTACAGGCTCATATATTCTAGCACTTAGACTTTAGAATAATGAAAACTCGTATCATCGAAATGATATCATCAGAGGAAAGAGGAAATTACGAAGACGAAAATATTGGCCGGTCGTTATTATATTCTATTCTAAGGAAATAATATTCTCTGCGTAAATTAAAATAGTCATTAGTACAGGAAATTATCTAATATAAAAATTTTTTTACAAACAACACAATGATTACCAGCTCCTAAAGTGCACTATGATATTTTTAAATTATTCAACGGCCAATAACTGAGTTGACGGCTAATTCTCTTTTAGAATATTACTATAATAAGCGCTTAAAAACTGAAATCAGTCCACAAGTCAAAGTAAGCATCGCCACCTAGCAAGGAATATCTAAAGCTTGCGATACACCCACGACAATCGCCGCGCAGGGAGTCGCTGATGCGCGCAGTTGGTAGGTAAGTCGCATTTGCAACAGTCTACATATATACGTACATATAAACAGAACCGCTCCCACTCAAAACATTGCTTTACCACCTATAAGACTCGCTCGAAAAGTCCAGCACTAATCGACTCATCTAACTAAAATTGCAGGTCAGTTTCAAGTGATTTTTGTTGTTTTACAAGCCGGCTATAAAAATCACATCTAATGCTGCATATAAACACCTGTAGGCTGTTAGACTTCAGCCATATTTGATAAATAGCATCATATATTGCGTTGAAAAATTGGCATTTAAGTAACTACAATCTATATTGACATGCAATTTCATGAAATATTATCAAAGCAAATGTTTCATAACATAGATCAAGTTTAATAATAATTTTTGTTTTCAATAAATTATTCTAATCATAGTGTTTAGTGTGTAATTGTATTTTAAATAATCACAGCTGTTATTATTAATTTAATTAAAAGTCTGCTTTCTATGATAAAATAAATCATTCATAAATGCAAATTAAGCTCTCATTGAAGTGAATTTGCAATTTTTTGCAAATGATGATATGTTCTATCAAATTATTAATACAAATTCTATATTTTTTAGTTTTCATAACATCTAAATATTTCAATTTTCAAGTAATGTTTAACTACGTATCGTTGTACTTAAGAAAATATTAAATTATTTAGGTATAATTACCAATTGATCTTGAGACATTTATTACTCCGTTAACTCTCCATGTACCAAAATATACAACTTCTCCTCCCAAATCTTTAATTCTTTTTTTTTCATCCTGAAAACAAACAAGGTATTGATCAGGCTGATTCATGATTTTTATCATTATACATACAGCATAGTATCTGTAATAGCTAGATTAAGCTTAATCTTTTCGCATAAATAAATGAAAGACGTCTTATCTTTCGCAAATGTATGAAATGAATTTGTCAATAGTTTGGCATTTGTTTTAATATTAGAAATACCTATTGAAAAATTTGCAGTTTTTTCTTAAAATGGCTGATACTGAATTTAAAATGTTGAAAAATCAACATTTATTACAATTTAAAAGTTACGAAGATTATTTAGAATCATTCATAACTCCAAGAGATATTTTCCATTTACGCAGTAAGATGTTAGCACGTAAAATCATCGAATTAGGCTATCATACGCAAGGAACTCTCGAGAGGGAATCGTTTTACAAAAAAGTTGAACTCATTAGAAGATATTTGTATCTGAAAAATAATCCTCTTTCGTTATGTTCTGAGTCCATAAAACCTAGAGATAATTTTTTACGTGAATTGGCTCTTAGAGAAAAAGCAAATCGTTACGGTAAAATGTACACCATAATATTTATAAGACATTGTGGTAAAGCTCAATTTCAAATATCTGGATTTATCGATTATTGTCATCGGTTAAAAACTGAAGACTGGCTTCCGTACTTTGATACAAGCAAAAAACTAAAACCTAGAAAAACAGATCTGTCATTTTATAATTGGAAAAGTAGAAAGTCAATTTATAATAATTCAGCAAACTTCAAACTTATTGCTGATGGGCATAGAGGTCTAATATTTCAAAATGTTCATGATTCTAAATTGATAATGATCAACACTCATTTGACTCCAGAATCAAATCCAAATCGTTTCATCATTCATAGTGATTTATATGGCCGAGCCATACTTTATGACCATCGTATAATTGAAACTGACACAGAAGAAAAGGAATGATTCAATTTAAAAAACTTACTGGTCTTTCTGGTTTATGAGGAATAGTCAAATTCATTCCTCTTCCAGATTTGATCAAAGCTGCTTGTGAATCTCCAGCCCATGCTATGTACAAAGTCTTATCAAATAATAAAGCACATACAGCAGTAGCACCACTATTTTTTGTCTGAAAGAAAAGATAATACATTATTCATACAATCAGAAAATCCAATTGATTAAAACTCACATCATCCCCCTCAGAAAATCTTTTATCTGTTGTATGAAAAGCATCGCGTAAGGCAAATTCAGGTTCTAAAGGATAATAAGAACTTTCCACTAAATACTGATGAAGATGAGCTGCACAATATGTGGCAGCTTCTTGTCCTGCATGACCGTCGAATACTGCATAATAGTTTACTACGGAGTCATTCTGAAAAATGAAATTAATAAGTTCTTACTTATTTTTGTTATAATGTTAAAGACTCTTTAGAAATAATAATAATGAATAGAATAGATATTTTGTTTACCTTAATACTGAACATAGTGTGTAAATCATGTAACACTACAGAACGATCTTCCATTTTTCGCCTTCTATTTTTAATAGCATATGAAGAAGTTAATGGTAGTGGAATGGATGGAGGTGGAGGTAACAATGCTAAACGGCTGTTATCCAAATAACGTTGACATATCTCATTAACTTTACTTGTGACAGTTTGCATTAACTTTAACGGAGAAAATACTAAAAAAAGAATAATTCATGAGTTAATTTTTTATTATTTTACCTACAATACTACGCAGAGTTTAAAGAAATTACCTTTATCTTGTTGTCGGTATCCACACTCTTCAGGTGACTTTTGAAACAATAATTTGAATTCATTGATGACCAGTTTAACTAAATATGCTTGCAAACTCGGTGGACATATTCTGAAAATGTAAAAGCATACTATTATCAATAAATGTATAAACAAAGTTGATGCATTCTATCTTACAGGTAAATTTTCAACTATGGTATCTTTGGTAGGAAACTATCAACATGAGAAAAATGAAAATCTTGATGAATATTTCAAAGCTATTGGTAAGAACGGAACTTTTTTTCAGATATGCTTAATGCACATTAAAATGAAATAAAAGTAATTATATTAAATATGTTTTAGGAGTACCATACATAGCTAGAAAAATGATGGGGGTAACTAGTCCAAGACTAGAAATTCAGAAAAGTGATGATGACCATTGGACTATTCGTACAATCACAATGTTGCGTACAATTGAGTTAGTTTTCAGAATAGGAGAAGAATTTGAGGAATCAATGCCAGGTGGAATTACATTAAAAGTTAGTATTTGTATGAAGATGATTATAATTATTTTTATGATTATTGCCTGATTTTTCTTTCATTTATTAATATTATTCATAGAATGTGGCTTCTTTAGAAGAAGATGAAAGTATAGTTATAAATTGTAAAGGACCAAATGATGTAAAAGTTGTTCGAAAATATGAACTCAAAGATGATCAGATAATATTGGTAAGTTCATTGATAATATAGAAATTTCAACACATTAAATATTGGAATTCTACTTTTCAGACTATGACTCATGAGAAGAGTGGACAAGTTGCCAAAAGATATTTTAAAAAAATCTCACAAGACTAAATATGGCTGTTGATGTCTTATTAAAAAGTATTTAATATTGGTGTCTATTGTGGCTTTCGATGTCTTTTACAGTTCAGAAAATTTTATTATATTCATAATGATTTTAATTAAGCTTTACATAAAATTTACTTGAAAAGTTATAAAATATAGATTTTGATAAATTCTAGCTAATTAACTTTTAATAAAGTTGTAAATGTATAACAAATTATTTTTTCAAATATGTTTTACATGCTTTTTTTATTGCATATATTATAATGTTTTTACGCTAAAAATGAATGTGATTGAATCGGAATTAAAGTATAACAAGTATCGAAGGTTTATTAATCACTTTCCAATTTTACACAGCTTTCCAATGAAAATACATTTTTTAAGAAATAGAAGTTTATCGATACTGAAAATTGGTAAAAAAGAAAGAATTCAGAAATAAGTTAAAGTTTATTTCAAAGTTGAACGAAAAAGTTCTGACAGTCGAGATATGAAAACGCATTTAACATATTCGGATCAATCTACGGAAGTTAGCGATGCATCGTACATAAAAACTTAATATTACGCGCAGATGCGCACGCGATTTGTTCATAAAGCGTGAAGGAGGAAAAATAAATAATAATACTGAAGCTCGTCGACCGCGAGCTGGATTATTTACGTGTATACGGATAACACAGCGTTGCGTAAAAAAAAATTGTTTAGCTCAAATTTTCACAACGTTCATGGATACAGTAAGAAGTTAAACTTTTACAAGCGTGTGTAGTCTCGATTGTCTAAGTGCATACGCGAGCTACGTTTGTGTTTTTATATTTTTTTGCACACTTCGGCGAGAGGGAGCGTAGGGTAAGTCTGTGCGCACGTGACCATAATGCAGTTTTTCTTTTGTGTTTGGCCACGTCAGGGAACAAGAGCGCGAGTGGCTAGACTAAAAGAATGGCTCACATGCAAAAGCAAGTTAAGAGCTTTTTGCGAAAAATGAATATTTGTAGCGTACTGCAACATTTTATGTGTGGCTCGGTTATTCAGAAAAATATAGAAATTTCCTAGTGTACCTAAGGATTTTTCACGTAGTAATAAAGCGTAATATTTACACATTTGGAAAATATTCAAGTTAATCTCTAAAAAAAGGAGAGTGTTATTTATAAAATTAGAATGTAACATCAAATATTTCAATTTATAATATAGCTACAGACAAGAATGATTTTAATAAAGCACTAATAATATACAGTATAAATGCGGCTTATGCACTAAAGCTCGTGTTAAAAACAATACACTTGCGTCAGCGAGCTATTCGTAGAAAAAATCGTAATCCTCTCTGTACACGAAAGTGTATAATGTAGTTTTATCTGGAATTTAAGCTTCACGAATAAACAATTGCAACTGTTCTAGTAAAATGAAATTATATTATAACGATAGTCTATCCTTAGATACATTGACCACGTTTGCACACATATAAAAACATAACGGCATGGCCTACATAACAATTTTACCGGCTGCTAAACGCAATATGAATTATTTATTCGTTCATCATCATCATCTTGGTTAGTGCTCATTGTGTGGATATAAAAGAAATGTCTTGCATCCGTGCTCCAACCAATCGTCTCTTTCGCGTAGATATCAGGCTTTTTTTAAGATGTTAGATTTGCACGTACGGACTGTCTTTAGAAATGAAATAAATAATTTGGCAAAGTCAACGATGAACAGAAAAAATAAAAAATATACACTGAACAATACGTTCAAGAAGTTTTTTAAATATTTTCATCAGGATTTACGTACCTTGCTTCGAGTTGGGTGTCACTGAAAGCAAGGACTTTTTTAATCCATTTGTGCGAGCCATTTTTTCTCTCTTAAAATTAACTTTTGAATGAAAGGCCTTTGAAACAGTTAATAAATTGACTTCAATGACCAAAATGTGAAAAGTGACGCGGTGAGTCATGTTCTCGTTAGCAGTAACACACTTATTTAGTAATCCTTAGCATTATTTTTTACGTTAGTAAATATGGAAGAGCAAACTATTGACAAACCGCGTGAGTTTTTTACGCTCAAATATTAAGTTAAGAAAATTAGAGAGTTACAGATACAGTTTCTTGCTTCTATACAATTACATTAAAACCTTTTCTAAATATTCAAGGAGTTTCATAATTATTCGAAATCAAGATCAGATGTATTAGTTCAAAAATAAAATGCATTATTTTCAAGTAAAATGTAATTTTTCGACTCGTCAAATTTGAATGATGACTCAAATAAGAGACTAATTATTGTGTAGAAAGCAAAATTCGTTATTGCGCAAATTATTGCGCATCGTCAGTGGGAAAAAAGAATAAGCAATACAGATTATAGGCATAGAATCCCATGTAAACAGGTGCCCGTAATATTTACGTCCGCGCCAGCCAAAACAAAAAACCTAACCTTCATAACCTTAAAAATAGTCGTCAAAACAAACGAGTTTGTAGGATAAGTGAAAGCGTAAAAAATCGAGTGTTGCACACGATGACACGAGGAGTTGAATGAATGATTCATTGTATGGGTCATCACGATGAAAGTGAGAGGGAGCGAGGCAAAAAAAGGCAAGGAGATAAACGTAAACGAAGATAAGGAAGAAAGCTCGGTAACCTTTGATTAAGATGTTGCAAGCTTATGTCAGCTATCTCGCCGGTCAGCTCGCATTCTCGCACGTCTCTGCGGCCCATTTTGACAGGCAGCTGATCCTCGTGGTCGCAAACGTTAGCGACAAAGTGCTCGAGAAAGCGCCGGTAGGCCCCCAAGTAATCACCGTCGCACACGTCCAGGCTCATCATTTGCTCCATATCTGTACAGGCGATTTTGTTTATTCGCGCAAAAGTCGTCTCGTTATCTGGTTATTATTATTATCTCGGCACTTGACACGCAGACTGCAGCAGCACTCGGCTTATATCCCGCACTGACAGGCCAGAAAATTTATTTTCTCTGGCTGCGATTTGAAAAGCACGCACTTGCGTCGTAGTACACATGCACACTCACACACACAGGTATATACTACGTAGAAAGTAAACAGAAAAATATATAGATATATAGTTCTATATCGATGTGTAAAAGTCGGATAAAAAATAGTCTGTATAAAAATAAGCTTTCGTTCTTCGTTATAGCTGCGTCCGTTCAGGCTCGATTTCCAGGAACGAGTCTCGCGGGCAGCAGTATATAATATATACAAGAGCAGCGAGCAGCGAGCGGAGAGCACAGACAGAGCGAGTATAACGCGCCAAACTGCACGATGACGGATAAAACAATGTATATATTTCTGCTGCCGTTGCCGTTTCTGTCCACAAGCGAACACACAAGATACTGTTGCTCGATGATATGTGTGTGCCTTCGTGTATGTACACAATGTGCGCTCTGCTTACGCTCTCCTCTGACTCTCTTTAGAGAGGCTATCGCACGCTCGAAAGTATATACTGTAGAGTACACGACGACGATCTACAAGCCGTGTAGTGGATTCGCGAATCGCGAGCTCGCCAGAAGCAGCAGCAGCACACGCGCTCGCGAGAAATGTATTATCCCCTCCAGTGCCGCCGTTGCGAACCACCTTAGGTATGTATTCTCTAGCGCAGTCGCGCGCTCTTCTCTTGTCTTCGTTCTGCAACGTGTGCGCTCTACACTAATGCTAAGGCTAAAGGTACCTTTATAAGCATGAGCAACTATAGATACAGGTCGCTTAAAAATCCAGCACTGCAGCAGTCAGCCAGATTTTGTCTATGATATTGCGCGCGCACTTTGACGTTACGAATCCTCTCGCTCGCCTGATCAGTAAGTATTTACTGTAACTCGCGCGACACCTTTACACGCCAAAGAGAATGAATAAGTCCATTGATACTCCATCGATCTAGGAGCAAATTCGAGATTTTATTAGCAAGACGTAAACAAGAGTCGCCGAACTTGGTCACTCGACGGGGAGGCTTCAAAAAACTGCGATCTGCGAGCAAACGCGATTGTTGCCTTGTTTTACCTTGCGTAGTAAGAGGCGAGCGCGAGAAGACACGAACAAACTCGAAAGAGGAGAAAAAAGCGGGAGAAAGCTGCCAAATGCCTCGCTGAGCGGCTAATCCACATATTATGCTCGCAATGAAGCTTCGGCACGTACGCGCTCGGAACTCATGTCCAACTCTTGTATCACGATGGTGTCCTCCAAGCCACTGTCTGATCTCATTCAATTTAGACTCTTTCATTTTAGCCACTGATGCTTCGGGCCTCTACGCAGCATCCTCCGCGAGTCCAGTTTGTCTGCTCGACGCGTTCTTGTGGCTGTAATGCAGGCGCGCGAGCTCGGCCAAAGCTCCTCTATTGTATAAAACTTTTTACGCCTATTATACTTCAACTATACGTACTCGCGCAAATAAGTCGAGTAACGTAGCAGATCGTCGATTAAAAAGGGGACCTCTTGCAAAAGACACGATCTCTTGGCGATTGATTGCACTTACCTTCTGCAAAAAATTCTCGATTTATGTGTTTCTTTTGAGCTTCGTTTCTTTTTTTATCGCGTCCCCTGCTCCAGTCTCCACCCCGTTGCGGCTACTGCAAAACAGCTCGCTACCGCTGCTACTATGGGTACCTGAAATCAAGAGGGAAATACTTATGGGTACTTTGATTTTGCCGAGGAAAACGTCGTTCGCTACAGCAGTCAGCCCTTTCGCGGAATGACCTCGGAGAGAGAGATCGGAGATGGGATCACGTGACAGCGAAGAGCGTGGGTGCCTTTACTCTACTCGACTATACATACAATATACGTCTGAAGTATGTAAGCTGCCGCGCTTCTCCGCGGCTAAATTGCGATTGTTGCGATATCATCGTGCATCGAGGCTTCCACATTATTAACTATGTAATAATATAAATAAAAATATGTGCGCCATTCAAAATCTTTGTAGCTAACTTGGATTCATTTATATAATAAATCCAGGGCCGCTTCCTGACTCACGACATACCTACCTTTACTTTTTACTCGGTTTATTCCTCTGCTCAGCGAGCAAGTCTGCAAATTCAAGAATCGAAAAAAGAAAATTGAGTATAATACTCGTAATTGTCGCGACTTAAGTTCAATTGTAATTTAAGGACTCGAACGGAGCTTAACTTATTCATTTTTGGAAAGTATTTTTACTCCCCTTAGCTTTCCGTAGCATTTTTTAAAATTTCAACATTTTTATTGTTTACTGTGATACAGTAATTTCCATGAGCCTATTTCGTACATTTTACGTATTAAATTTTTTTCTGTCTAGCGTTTTACTTTTTTCAAAATGCACCTCACTTGTCGTAACTTTCAGAGCAAACTGTTGAAGCTACAGCACCAGGGTCGGGTACACTTCTTCAGTACATGAATAATTATAGACAGTATAACTTGGGCGTGGTGTTTGGACTCGTAGGTAACTCTGCGCAAAAACTTGAGCATACTTACTTTTTAATTTTACATTTATTTCTTATATCTCCATCATAAGTCTACTGATTGAGAGTGACCAATGTGCTCAATCATCTCGCTCGAGGTTGTGCTTACCCCCCTCGAACCCGAGCATATTTTCTGTGGATCTCGCATCATTTGCTCTTATTTCGATTCGAATTCGTTTTAAAAAGTCAATTTTCATAAAATTTAAAACGTGCTTATGAAGCAAATAGGGTAACTAAACCAATACCTATCCAGTTAAGGGTGTTGGTACAGTCCCCCTATTTTCTTATTTTATAATTATAATTGATTTTCATTCACCATTGAATACCGGTAAATGGCATTTCTGATATAACAGTTGAGTCTTAATCCTTGGAAAATATTTTTGAAAACAGGTCATCTGAAAGTTATAGTACTAACATTTCCAGGTGTATTGGCAAGTGATGTCATGGACAATGCGTCATGCACAGAGTCTATTAATGATAATGAAGTTTGCACCGATACGCTATAATAGTTATTATCTACGAGTTTCTTGTCTGACTCATCAGTTGACATTTCTGACAATATGTTATTTCCATTCAACTTTACTCTAGAGTAGGATGAATAAGAAGAAGATAGAGTAAGATGAATATTATATTACGTAAATATTTCGACCATTATATAAACCATTATTATGAATCAAGTATGCTCTCAAAAATATTCAAGTAAGTTTTCATAATTTTAAGAAAAAATTATCTATATTACTCTCACATCTTGCCATATTTTGCTGGCCGTTGAATTTGCGCGATGGAAATTTAATTTTGACCCATTCCTCCTCAAGCTCATGTAAATTTTTTCAATTGAATACGAGGCAAATGTAAAGAACAAGAGGCGCGCGAAGAAGAAAATACCAAAAGCGCGACGAGAAGTAAAGGAATTAAAAGAGCCAAAGTCCCTGCAATTGCACGACCTTCTGACCTCGACAGAGCGATTCTCATTGGCAAACAAGAGAGCCTCTGGAGTCTTGTACGGGGCATCGACCAACGCCATTTCTTCACTCGCTCGCATCGATGCAGTCGTTCTCTCATATCCACTCCATACGTAATCAGCTATATTGCCTTTGCAGCAACACGAGCGCCGTCGTGAAGGCTCGCCTGGTACGTCTTTCCAGGGTCAACAAACCGCCGTCATTTCCACGACTAGAGTCCGTATTACTGCAATCTATAGTCTGAGCTGCGTCGCGCGAGATGACAGCGCCCGAGTATGTAATGCATTTAAACTGACCTGAGCCGATTTCTGACGTCGCCCCCGCCGCCGCCATGGCGCATCGCATTGCACGCGCCACTCGCACGGCAGAGCTCTTACATATATTCAACGAATTCCTTTCAATTTCACTAAATTCAGGGCCGTAATTGTACTTCTTGCGTTGCTTCAATATCGCACCGACTCCTTGCACATTACGTGTGTGTTACGAGTATTTTTTTTTCTTAGACTTTCAACCGGTTTCAGAATTTTTATTGGGAATCGACTGCCTTTTTTCCGCACTAATCCATTTAATTTTAATTTGACTTTCTTCTGGAACATACTGTAAAAATTTATTCAACAGAGAATATTATTAAATAAATAGCTAAATGCTTCATTGCTTGCTTTTATTGTTGCTTTTCAGCACAGTGAACAACTTTTGGTAATTATGCTTCTACTTTAGAAGAATATCTGTCCATAAGCTAATAACGTTTATCTTCATCATTATTTTTTGTTCATTTTTATATCTTAAGAGTATTTACTGACCAAGTGTATAAGTTGATAAATATTGCATGCAATAAAATTAAGAGCCTGAAAAATGACAACCCGATATTCTTCCGTGAATGAAGTCTACTTTGCAAGTCTCAGCGCTCAAATTTGTTCAAATTTAGTTTCAGTCAAACTTACTTCAAGTGTGGACCAAATTTCATTTTTTTATTCAAGCAAAGCTCGTCCTATATCTCATTACATTAGATTGAGCGTCAAATTATCCCAATGGAACAGAAGGATTGAAAATATATGTAAAAAATGCATATGTATGCAACTTAGCGTACAAAAGAAAATTGTGAAAAAATTGGGAAAGATATAACTCGCGAGTAAGGAAAGTATTTTCATCATTTCAACAATTGCAATTAACACTATTTCGCCAACGCCATGTAGAGCAAACTTGGTCTGTATAGTATAATAAAATAATATAAAAGGTAAAAATGTAAAAATATATAGCCGTTGAAATTCGCACGCGACTGAAGCCCATTCTTGTATTAATTAAGTAACTAGTCTCCTCATCCATCCTCGTCACACTCTGTGCATTCACACCTTGGAACGAGGCATATAATACTCTGCGAGCAGTTGGTTTGCACTGTATACTTTGCTGCATGCGGATTCCGGAGTTTCGGTAGGTATAAGGCACTACAATGTGCTATGCAGACGTCACGCATACAGCTATAAGGCCTACACACATGCGAGCAGTGGGTATATAGCAGCTGTGGCTTGCGCGCAGAATACGCGCGTTTCTCGTCGCGGACACGCAGGCGCCGCTATATGAGTATAATTTGCCACACACATGCACGAATACAGTATAATCGGAATACGTGTAAAGTCAAAAATGTGAACTCTCGAGCTGCTTGAGAGGAAGATTTCACTGACATGGAGAGAAACGAAGAATTAGGCCTCGGACACAACGAACGGAAACTGTGTGAGAGAGAACGTTATCGTCCTGACAATATACTTGCGGGTATCGGACGCGATTCATGCTCGCGACAAGTGCCGTAGCACATACCATTTATGATAAACCGTGTAATGTTGCTGGCCAGTTACACTGCCTGTTTCACGCACCAAGTGATAAAGGAAATTGTGCCGGGTTAGTGCAGCAGCAGCAGCAGAAGCTCGAGCGACGAGTACGACGCGTTGGAGACGCGTTGGGTACTCGGCCATGTATTATTATGTGTGCGCGTATTAGGTGCGAGCGACGAGCCGACGAGCCCCGAAGCCAGTGCAAAGCGGCCGAGCGACTCGGCGCCGACGTCGGTTTTAGCAGCGCGCCTCAACTCGGAGTACACACATACAATATTATGCTCGAGTACAATACACGGCACATACTATCGCACACGCATGTATAGGCTGCAGACTCGTGTGTGCGTGCGAACGAGCGAGGCATCGGGCACATTCGCTCTCTCACGTATATACAGAGTCTATAGAGCGCGCCGCATCTCTCGCGCGATTCTTTGCTGGCGCGCGTTCGCCCGTTCGCCAGTACCTACACGGCCAAGGTACCGAGCGCGCCGTCCGACGCCTCCTAAGCAGTCGCCTCTGTCAGTGCCGCTCCGAACTCGCCACGATTAGCAGCGTCGCGATTCGCGAATTTATTGCTCGTTACCTTTCGGCGCATCGCGATCGAGTGATTAGCGAACCCGTAGCGCGCTACAAGTGTTTTATAGTCGGCTGTCGGCTCCGCATACAGTAAGAGCGCGCCAATACTTGCGTATCGTTAGTGACTGTCTACGCTGCGGCTTGGTGCGACTTGCTCTGGCTCTTTCTGTGATACTTTGCGTCGTTATATTGTGTCAACCTGTAATTGTGTGCTCCTGCCAACGACTCGTCGACTTTGGCCGATTGGACGGCTGACTTTGTTGGAACGGCGCTCGCTCGCAGACCAGTCAAACGGCCAAGATGATGTCGACGCACGAGGACGTGGGCATCGGGGATTTCGTCCTGCTCGACGAGATAAGCCACGAACGCGTTGTCGAGAATCTCCGCGTCAGGTAATACAATACCACATGCCGAATAGCACTCTGTACTATAAGCAGCATGTAGTATGGCAGTATACACGAGTTATACTTGGCCAAAGAAAGAATATGCTCGAGGCAGCACATATCTGAAATATAACATAAAGAATGCGGACTAGAACGTGTTTTCAAACAGGTGGATCGTGCAAACTTGCCAGAGCTTTGCACGGGAACTTTTCCTTGCTTTTCCGCTTTTCCAATGACTGCTAGCCACGAGCTAGCGTAGACTTACGTCGCACACACACTGCGGCTCACGTACGTTACAAATGTATACAAAAAAATAATACACGCATCATGCCCGCGCTCTTAGGTGCGCGAGGGCGTGGCTATTATATTTTTCGTGCACGCGCATCGTTATAAAGTGGCGTTTGCAAAATTGCGACGTAAGTAATTGTAATATCAAAGACGACGACCGCAGTGGTGGCCAATATATACAGGTGGTTAGACTCGGACTTTATCCACTACACACATACACGCGCACACTCGCATGCTGCGCGCTGGCAGACCAATAGCAACCAGCAGGGGTGCTTTTGATGCACGCACACACTTACACCCCCGCTTTGGTTCAAATCACGAGACGTATTCGTGTCAATGGGCCGCTTTGCTCGGCAAATCGATCTTCGGTACCGCTATATGCATTTCAAGTACGATACACGAGCTGATATATTGTAAAACACGACTGCTATCCATTTAGTCATATTTTACGTACAGCTTCAAGCCTCTTGTAGCGAGGAATAATATGCAGCAAACACCAATGAGTCTAGCAAGCGCATTCGAAGCTCCAAGTGTGTTTTAAAAGATCCCTAGCAGACATAATGCTTACGTGCATGATGCACGGCGTGAGTTACGGGCGGTCTGCCCGAAGCACACGAGGAACGAACGCACGGCTATTAAGGTTTTCTTTCTATATGCAGAAAGACGCAGCGTTCCTCCCTCGTATATTATAACTTTGCGGTTTCGTAGAGTATACCTACGCGTTCGACGTTTAGTATCGGACACCTTGCAATCAGTCTGCCCGCTATACCCTCTGCCCTATGATTAATTTCTTTACAGCTTTAGCTGTAATCGTTTCTAGCGTTATGCCTACGTCTTCATAAAAACCCGCACGCGCGAGTATAAAGAAAGACTCGTTGCTTTAAGGTAATCTTTTTTTTTTTATACATACCAGCGTAAGATAACGATTAGGAAATCTTTTTGAACCTTTAATCTCGCTGCTTTTTTCTTTTATAAATTATCAGACCAGATTGTCACTTCCGTCATTTTGTTTATGATAAAGTTGCGTTGAATATATATTGTTATTCCATTTCCACGTGAGTAAGTTTGAACAATAGGTACAAAAATTATAAATAAAAATGCGAGCTTAAAAAAATTATTTTATGCTAAGCTAAATAAAATTGTCTACCTGCTTTAACTCCATCATCGCTACGAAAGCGAACAACAAAAGCCGCGTCACACGCTCTATTATCTCTTATCTATTGAATTCTTATTCGTGCGACGCGTAAACTCGTTTGAAGTGGCATTGAAAGTCGCGAGAACACCCCTTGACATGTACATTTTCTGTAAGCGCGCGTGCCTCGTGCGTAATAATATACGCACTGCGTCTACATAAACATTCCACTCTCTCGCGCTTACATGTATGCACCATGTGCAAATGTATAGATAGACGGCAAAAAAGTTCAAAGAGAAGCTCATTGGAGTCTCGCGTCTGCTGCATGCGAAGACGCGCTAAAAAACGACTAAAAGCTCTGCAGTTTAAAACAGCCGACACAAAGCGTACAGATTCGAGTGCTCGCGTGCACGCATTTTCAAATACTCTCAAGTAAATGCACAACCGAAAGCAGCGGACGGCTCGCGAGTACTCAATTATTTTCCGCAAAATTTCGGACATATTTTTTTCGTTCTACTTATAACTGGCTCGCGCAGAGAAAGAGTAATCGCGTGTCACACTAGTAACTGTAAACTCTTATTAGCATATGGTCTACAACAATTTGCACTCAGGTGCGTAATCGCGCTTTGAAAAGGCTATAGAAAAGACTCACAAACTTATGTCGCAGCTTTTCCTAGACGGAGCGACCGCCGGAGGTAAAATAATCATGAATCGTTTGCATACGTAACGCCAATGCTGCTGTTATATGTGTGCATATATGAAATAAATGACATAAGCGCGATAAAAAAAGGTACGATGATTAATCCCTCGCTCTCTCAGCAAATAGCCATGTTATATGAATCACGAATTCTTTAATGCACATAGCTCGCGAAATAAGTCGACTTTTTTCAGCTACGAGAAACGTTAACGGTTGCCTCTTGTTTGAGTGTTCAGCTAATGCCTGTTCAATGTATTAACTGACCAGAAAATTGTTGCTCGCGACCTTACGAGAATGTTTGGAAATGTTAGTCGTCTCTTCGCAGCTTCAATATTCCCTGTAACTTTTCGAATCGGTTATTATAGTGTACTTTCTGTCAAATCTATAACGTATACAAATAATATGCGTTTAAGACGCAATATTTTCAATATTCAAAGGTCATTTAAAAAAATACTATACTTGCAATATTTTAAATTTATGGTCCCGTCGAATAAAACATATTTTTACATATTCAATGGGGAATATGATGGCAATGACGATGATTAATATTTTATTATATGCGAGAACTTTCCTTATCTATTCATCGAATGAGTCATCTCGAATATTTACTTAATTTAGAAGAAAAATCATGTCCGTTGTGTCTTAAACGTACGTACATTTTTCTCTCGTCTAAAAGCTCTATACACCCACGCCTTCTGGTCGCAATAACATTGTTTTTTCATTCCCAAAAAGAAATGACATCCACGTGGTTTGGAATATATTTCGTTGTGCGTCCTCTAGTGCGTCACCGGCCTTCACTTTGGTTTATTTTCAAAAAAATCTCTCAGCATTTTTACAGTTTCAAAATAAAAAGATATAATATTACACACTCCGAACGCTTCTGTTAATTTTCTATACTTTTGAGTTTGTATCTGATCTGTGCTATTGTATGAATCACGAACGGCTTTGCGCAACTGTGATGTCACCACGCGAGGCCCTCGAGGCAATGATCGTCTGAATTCCAATTCGATCTGCGCATTATTTTTTTTCGTTGCAATGCGCCATGAAATTGTAAGTTTTAGGGTGTACGGCCGTTACATAATCAGATATTATATTCCAATACGGTCATCTAGCTATATCTAACCATTCACTTTTTTTATGAATTTTAACATGAACTTATTTGACAATACCAATTGAATGCAATATCAAATAAAAATATCATTAGAATCATAATCAAATATAATATAATATTATGATCAAATATAATGATACTGTTTAGTTGTTTTATCAGATAATTTACCATTTCTTACTTATAAAAAAAATTTACATTTACGCCAATAAAGATAAACGAAGAAAAATTATTCAAACTTTTCAACGAGCAGTGAGAAGCAAAACACCAAACTACTTTGCTCATTAAGGTCATCGGGTAGCATACTAGCGGCTACTTTAAATTTAAAAAAATCATAATTAAAAATGTATTACTTTTAAAGTGATTTCAAACGACATTCAAAAAAAGCAAATGATACTTTTTTCAAACGGTTAAAAGTCTCAAAAATTTACGTGGTATACAAATGGTCATCTAACTAACAACATTACGCGTTAGCGCACGTATGTAATTTCGTTCAATTGTTCACTTGAGTTGATTACATATTAGTATCCTGCTGTCACTTCAGCTGTTGGTTTTACTCTCCTTCACAATATGATTCACGGCTACATTGCCACTTCTGCTGGAGCGTTCTAGTATTTCAACGCACATCAATTGTCTCATAAAATAAGCCTGCTCCTTTTTTCTACTTCAAAATCTAGCTTCAGCACTGTCATTTTACGCTAGTACTAATTTCTTTCTTTCGCCCGAGAAACCTGAAACACCAACCCATTTTTAAGGAAATTAAAGCTTAATGGAAAATCTCACACTGCATTCTACAACACACAATGAAGTTCCGCAATAGATAGTTGCATTATACAGTGTAGACTTATTAAATAGTACCCCTGTCTTGATATTCATGTATAATGAGTAAAAGCTGGTCTAGGCTACTGACAGGTAAACAAGAGATTAAATCTAGATTACACTGACATTAACTCGATTCGCGTACAAACATGGAGTCGTATAATTTTCAAATTTGGCATTTTATTCGTGTCTTATTGATTCATACATTTTTAATCCACGAACGCTTCATGTGCACTCTTCACTTGTCTTTTGCGAAATTTCTTCACAGCGCATGTTTTTTTCTCGTTACGTAGATAGAGCAAATGGAACTCTCTTCTCTCGATTACTCAATGGCTGATTATGTCCGTGAGAGATCATTCCGCTATATAAGTGTGTGAATAATGCCAGGAAACTCATCAGCAGTCGCTAGCAAGTGATTCCTTGGTATACTTTTGTCTATGTTGAATCTCGAATTGTTTAATAAAAATCGATTTAAAAGATTTTTGTCTTAAATTCAAAAAACATCTAACTGAGCATACGAAAATCTTGGGTATTTCGCCTTTGATACTTTTTAATTGGCGCGATAAATGATTTTATTCGATGACATGTTCAATTCTCAAGTTGAAGTGGCAGATGTGGATTTTTCGGTCGACTATATCGTCATAGTTATCGCGGAAAATTTAATCGTACGATTTTTGCAATGCTCTCAAACAATTATTTGGTAAATCTTTCTTCACAGCTAAAACACATAAACGAAGGAAATTTCGAAAATTACGTCAATCACGCGAGAATTGCATTTTTTGTGTTTTTCATATCTGATCGATGCGAAAGCATATTTCATCCAACTGCTCTACATTGCTGCGCTGCAACACAATAACAAATTGCGCTTAGCAGACCGCACGATTTTCCGGTATAAGTATCGGCTATTACGGCAGCCATGCAGATGGTTAGAGCTTTTTCTCTCTACACCACTTTCTCCACGCCTATTATTATTACAGCACACCGAACGTCTTGCTGTTTGCAGCAAAGACCTCAGGTTTACAGCTACTACACTCGTTGCACTATCAAATGCCAATATAAGAGAGTAAAAATATCTACACATCTCATGCGCTTATACGATGTTTTTTCGCCTCCCGTGTTTTGTTATCGTGTATTACAAGTGATTTCGCCTCGTACTTTCTTCGTTTTTGCCGCGAGACTTTGATTTCACGCGATGCTCGATTTAATTGCAATACACAGTAGTATCGTGTACATAAAAAGTGAAAGTATTTTTATGTATCTACATAAATATCTCTACACTTTGTTGCACTCAATCCTGATGGTCGCATATCGTTCAATGCTACTTATAACGACGAGGAAATATAATTTTTACATTTGTGCAAGATCGAGTACTTTCCTTTTTTACCGCTACAAGACGATAATAAATTCACATTGAGGTTTGAATTTATTGAAAATCATCGTTTACTCTTTCTATTTTATATCAACAACGTTAAATTACGATTTTGAAAGGATATTCCTTGTTAAAAATGTACATTTAACAAGCCGTAAAAGTAAAAACTTAAACGATAAAAAAAAATTAACAAATAAACGTTCATTCTCATTTGTTAATTATAGTGACGCCTTTTAAATTTCTATACTAATAAGTAAAATTTGTCACTTCAAGACAAAACTAATGTTAATAATAATTATGTTGATGCGTTATATTGAGTTCAAAAATACAATATCGAAATATAACATTGAATTAACTGTAAATCGGTACTAAACTAAATATTTTGATAAGAGAAGAATGAAGTATGCCATTTAAAAACACAGTGATTAATACCTTCCAAGTTTTTAAAGCGACAAGTTTTCAAAGGAGTTTTAACAATTACAACTGCATTTATAATAAATATTTATTTTTGGTTCATAATGTATCATTAGTAATTAATCCACTGATTTTGATGTACTGATTTTTATTTGCAGATTCAATGGAGGAAAAATTTACACCTACATTGGAGAAGTTTGCGTCAGTGTTAATCCATACAGGAGTACGAATATATATAATTCCGAATATGTTGAAAAATACAAAGGTAATATTTTTATTCATGGCATTGGGGTTAAAAGTATTTTATACAAATTTTCTTTATTCCCAATTTTGAGAAAAAGTGTAGTGACGTGGTACTTGAAGAAGTAGGTAAATTAATTTGAGACTTCAAATGTACATCTCGTTCCACCATTGAAAAAATTAAGAAAAAAGGAAGTCAATTACATAAACGATGGCCAATCGCTCATGCCAAAAAAACTTTCGTTACTCAAGCATAATAAACATAAGTTGCTAGAGCGTACCTATTATCGGAAAAAGTGAAATAAATCCTAGAAAATACAACTTGAAATCGAGTAATTTCTGTACCGTCAAAATGCTAATTGAGATTGGGAATGAATTTTTTCTTAAAATTTAAAAATTTTAAAACAATCATTGATAAGGTTAAAAATGAGAACTTTTTTACGCTATGCTCGGGAATTTTGCAGATAGAGAAATGTTCGAGAATCCACCGCATATATTTGCGATTGCGGACGCCGTACACAAGGAGATGAAGCAGCAGGGCCGCGACACGTGCATTGTCATAAGCGGTGAATCGGGATCGGGCAAAACCGAGGCCAGCAAGATCATCATGAAATACATCGCCGCTGTCACGAATCTTGAAGGTCAACAGGAAATAGAAAGGTAGAACCAATGCGGACTTTTCGTAATTCTGAAAAATGATTTAGTTTCTGACTTCCAAATCATCCATTCGATGATTAGCAACAAAAAGGTTCTCGCGATGTAAACATGGTTTCACAAAAATTGAAAAAAGTAAACTTTAATGAGAGAAGGAAAATTAAAACACAATACATTCCTATTGACAGGCTGAAAAATAAAACAAAAGATCACGTATTTACGCTACTCACGCTTAACGCTTGTTGCAAGGACAGACTAGCCTTCATACAGTTATGCGGCATACATAATGCGTGCGATGCAAGCCACAAATTTGCGTATACGTTAAATACATTATCGCTGTTTATGATCATTCGAATCGCGTTGGAGACGTTTGGTTTGGCACACTTACTCACAGCTAACTTTATAGTTATCACGACCGCAGTAGAGATATTGGCAAAAAATTTACTCGGTACTTGCATTTTTTCAGAGTGAAAAATATCCTCATACAATCCAATTCCATCTTGGAGGCATTTGGAAACGCTAAAACAACCAGAAACGATAATTCATCAAGATTCGGAAAGTATATGGATATCAATTTCGATTTCAAAGGCGATCCGATTGGGGGAGACGTCACAAATTATCTGCTGGAAAAATCGAGAGTAGTTTATCAACAAAAGGGTGAAAGGAATTTTCATTGTTTCTACCAGGTAGTTATTATTCTTTGTTATAATCTTATAACAACTTCATAATATGTAACTATGCAACATTTTGATCTATTTTCCTTACTTCAGCTCATCAATGGCTGCAACGAATCTGATCTAAAGTCAATGCGATTAGTGAGAGACCCTTCGAGTTACAACTACATTAAAAATAGTTCGGGTAACAATCAAACGACGTCGGTCGATAAAAGCGATTATAAAGCAGTCGTTAATGCCATGTCCACACTTGGATTTACGCAAATGGAAAGTCAAACTATCTGGAACATCGTTGCTGGAGTACTGCACTTGGTAAGCTTACTTATTTATCTTATATTAAAATCAGCACAAAAATAATACGACAAGTAACGACATGACATATTTTAACTTTAAGGGTAACATAACGTTCTCTCTTAATGAAGATAAAGTTAATATAAACGACGATAAACCACTGAAAGATGCGGCGCACTTGCTAGCCGTTGATCCGTCAGATCTTCGAGCGGCGCTTATTCAAAGAGTAATTGCCGCAGGCGGTGAAGTTATGCAAAAGACTCATACTTTGGTCGAAGCTGAGTATGGACGAGACGCCTTGGCAAAGGTACTAATTTTTTCTAAAGCTTTTACTCATGATACAGGATATGCAATTAGTTAGTACACATGAATAGTAACTGCAATCAACTTTTTTTTCTTCAACAGGCAGTTTATGACAGATTATTCACCTGGATAGTATCTAGAATAAATGGGACGATAAACGTAACTTCTAATAATCTTTATAAACATCAACGTTACCGTACTTTAATCGGTGTATTGGATATTTACGGTTTTGAAATTTTTGATTCAAACAGTTTTGAACAGTTTTGCATTAATTATTGCAATGAAAAACTGCAGCAACTTTTTATCGGTTAGTCAATATAAACTTGAAAATTTTGATTTTCAAATTGTATACAATAATTAATGTTTTTTTCAGAGCTGGTTTTGAAACAAGAACAAGAAGAATACAATAGAGAAGGTATTGCTTGGCAAAATATCGAATATTTCAACAATCAAATCATTTGCAGCCTCGTTGAACAAAGTCATAAAGGAATGATTTCTATTATGGACGAAGCTTGTCTGAACGTTGGTAAAGTGACCGATGAAGTAAGTAAACAAAAATTGTTAAATCAAAACGTTTCTATTAAAGCATTGGGTTATTGAAGAAAATTGACTTCTAGATGCTCCTAGAAGCTATGGATAAAAAGTTGGTAAATCACCATCATTACACATCTCGGCAATTAAAACCGATGGACAAAGAATTAAAACACAAAACGCAATTTAGAATAAAACATTACGCGGGTGATGTTGTTTATAATATAAGTGGATTTTTGGACAAAAACAAAGACACTCTTTTTCAAGATTTCAAACGTTTACTTTTTAAAAGTCGAAATCCAATAATTGAAAAAATGTGGCCTGAAGGCGCTCAAGATATTACAAAGGTATGAGCAATTATTGCAAGGTATTTATCTCGAATGAAAAAATTTAAATTATAACTAATTTTTATATCGATACTGCAGACAACGAAACGACCGCTTACTGCTGGAACATTGTTCAAAAACTCAATGATTGAACTTATTAAGAATCTGACTAGCAAAGAACCTTTTTATGTGCGCTGCATTAAACCAAATGAAGTCAAGTCTCCTGTGGTATTCGACGAGGAACGAGTAACCCATCAAGTTAGATATCTTGGACTTGTAGAAAATATTTTAGTTAGGCGAGCTGGTTTCGCTTATAGGCAACGTTACGACAAATTCTTGAAAAGGTATTTCTGATTTTATTTTCCATTTTAATTTTGTAAACTTTGATAAATTAAACTTTCAATTTCTAGATATAAAATGATTTCTCAATATACGTGGCCCAACTTTCGAGGAAAAACTGCAATGGATGGCGTGAAAATGATGATGGACGATAAAGGTTTCTCAAACGATGTTCAGTATGGTCATTCAAAAATTTTTATTCGTTCGCCAAGAACACTTTTTGCACTTGAAAAAGTAAGAAAAATCAATGTTTTATTGACATCTTATGGTTCTAAGAACATTTTATATCAAACTTTACTTTTATAGGCCCGCAGTGACTTAATTCCTAGCATCGTAATATTGATTCAAAAAACTGTACGTGGTTTCTTAGCTCGGCGATATTTCAGGCGACTTAAAGCTGCATACGTTATTGGTCAGTATTATCGTCAGTATAAGAGACGATCTTACATCGTTGATTTGAGAAATACATTCATAGATGCGAAGAATATGCGAGATTATGGTAAACGGCTTACATGGCCCAAAGAAAATTTCGCTGTGAGATCAGTTGTGCCTTTGTTAAAAATGATGTATGCTAGATGGTACAGTTGGATGATACTCAGAAGGATACCTAAAGAAGATTGGCCACAATTACGACTGAAGGTTACAAAAGCATGATTGCATGAGACGATTTTTGGTGAAACTTTTGTTAATGGTTAAAAATATGTTGTACATTTTAGATGTCAGCAGCGTCAGTATTAAGAGGAAAACGTCAACATTACGGACAAGACAGACGTTGGGATGGTAACTACCTGTCGCAATTCAGTGAAAATTCGCACAATGATATCTTTAATACTTCGATGAATAATTTGAAAAATGCAGACCACTTTAAACAAATTCTGTTCAGTGCCTTTATTAAAAAAACCAACAAGTGAGTTACTAAACGCGGATATTTTACTTTTAAAATCAGAAATGATACTCATTTCACATTTTTTCAGATTTAACAAACAAGCCGACCGAGTTATGGTTGTAACAGAGCAGGCTTTATATAAATTAGAAAATACTAAATTTAAAAATATGAAAAAAGTTATGAACATAGCAGAAATCACTGGTCTCAGCGTATCCCCGGGAAAAGACCAATTAATTATTATTCACTCTAACCATGGAAATGATGTTATAGCTTCAATTATGACGACAGAAGATAAAGTTGGAGAACTTGTTGGGATTTTAAGCAATTCGTATTACAGGTGCGCTATCTTTACAAAGTAAATTATTGCGTACTAAAAACAAACTAAAATAATCGATTTTTTTCCAGTATACGCAAATCTGATTTGCAAGTTACGGTTGATGTAAAATTCAAGTGCATGCTTGGAAATAAGCGAAAAATTCTGAGAATTGAAGTTGTTCCAGAAATGACCGAGCCTGGTTTTAAGAAAGATGGAGATAATATTATTTACGCAATACCCCCGTCAGTCGGTATCATTGATGACACATCTAACAATAAAACAAGAATCAAAACAGTGGGCTAATTGTTCGTCTTCGTAATTGATAGTTGTAGTAGAAAATGTTGAAGATATTTATATAAATATCATTTTTGTAATATATGCCTGAATATTTTTTTTAAAAAATTTTTAAATAATTATTATTTATGATTAATTAGTATATTACTGTACAAGGATACGTATAGAGATAAAATTAATTTTTAGAATCTGTATTTATTTATGAACAACGAAAAATCCGTATTAGTAATATTCCCACTAATTTTTTTGAATATTACAAAAGTAACGTTTGATGTTATATTTAATATGTTAAAAAAATGACAAGTATAACATTAAGTTTAAATACAAAATAAATAAATTATTCTCTTCTTGTTACAGATACATTTTTCTTGTCTTTTAAGAATAATTATAATGCAAAAATAAGAGATTCAATACATATTGATATTTTCCTTATTGTAAATACATTTTGTTGCGAAAATTTTTATCATCAAGTATGCATCAATTCTGTGATTATCACCGAACATTTTTTGCTATCTTGTAATATGTTTTAAATTAAAGTACTTAACATATATCTATGACAATACATTGTAAATTTGTGCCATTAAACAAGATGAAAGAAAGCTATATATTATCAAATTTTTATTTCAGTAATATTTACATTGTTATTTTTAATTTTTAAATTAAGAAAAACTTGAAAAGATATGCTGTTGACTTTATCATTATAAGAAAATTTACCAAAAATTTTTACAAAAGGTATTACTCTGTGTCAAAATCGTCCATACGTTTGTATAAGTAAATGTACCCAAGTTCTTTTGCCGGTTTCTCAGCTACAAATACCTTTAAAATAAGTTATGAGTGATAAATATCAAATAACCATTTTTCAGTAAATATTATTTTCAGACACCTTACCTTTTCATCATTATAAAGAATCCATTTCTTGTTTTCCAATAAATAACAAACGTAATGTCCGACCATAGTTGAAGTACCCATGTGCGTAATGAATCCCATTAATTTGTATACTTGAGATGCGAAAGTAATTATTTTAATACACCAGGTTATATTTGTAGTACAAACAAATCAAAAATTTGTAATAACGAAACTTACGTCCTTTTCCAGTCTTAAATTTCGGTTCCGCAGGTATTTCAACTTCCATGCCCATACTATCAAGTTCATTTATGTGACTAAAAGCCCAATCTGCAGCACGCTCTAATATATTATTTGTTTCTTTCAGGGCTTTTGCTGCTTGCTCTTTGGTGAACCCCATATTCATCAACATTTCTACATGTTCTTGAATGGGAGTAAAAGTTACAGATTCTTTTTTAGCATCAATTCCCGGAGGTACAAATGTATCAGAAAAGTCGCTATCAGATATATGTTCCATAAGCCATTGTGTAGCTGGTTCAAGTCCTCGATTTTCGGTGAAATATAAAGCTCGCTTGCAAGCTTCTATAGGGAAACCCATTTCAGTTAATTGGCCAAGTAAAATCTGATCATAAACTGGTGCAGGTGCTTGTGATGCTTCTGGTAGTAATTCTTCACCCTCTTGTAAGCCATTACCCCTAAGATGTTCTAAGTCTAGAACTTCAGGCATATCAATAGCAACATCCAATTTAACGCAAGTCCAATCTTCTTCCATTGTGAATTTTTTCAAATGTATAAGAAGATAAGGAGGAAAGGAAGCTAATCTAGTTGTTCTAAAAAATAAAAGTATTTTGTGAAATCATAAAATCTCTATAAAAAGTTAGTGTTGAAGATTTTATGCATACTTAGATGCAGTAGTTTTATCTTGTAATGCAGAGCTATAAAACTGCTCTACAGATTCAGAAGCAGCAAATTTTTCCAAGCAAGATTCCAGTTCTATTTTTGCTCTCACTGGATTTTGATTAATTGTATTTTTTCCTTGTGATTTTTTAATAGCTTCATATTCTTCAACCTCTTTCTGAATAAAAAAATAAAAGTTAATTTTTGTTGTGAATCATAGACTAATTAACTTACTTTATTTATTACAGCATCCATTGGTATAGGTAGAGGAAGTAAGTATTCTGGTCTATGTTGATACTTGACTTTTCCAGAACTACATTGATACCTTTCTTCGATTTGATACTTGAAGTAGTCTGCCAGATTATCATCAATAACGTTTCTCTGCAAAGTATATTTTATCTTAAAGTAAAGTTTATTTTTAAAATTATTAAAAGATTTAACTTTACATTCAACATATTAATTAAATGCAAAATGAATTCTTGAGCATCTTGCTGACGATTGGTTGAAAATTCAGGATGCCCTCTACCAATAAAAGTTCGAAACGTTCTGGGAGCAATTCCTTCGGGGTATTTTCCAGACAACAAACCAGAAGCTAATTTACCCCTACAACGGTGAAGGAACAGTAAAAATAAAATAATTAATTATGATCATTCAACACCTTTGCAATGAAAAGAAAGCAGAAAAGAAATACATTATTGTCTTACATTTGAATATTAAAATCTTCAGGAGCTTTATCAAAGTAGTTTTGAAAAATATTCTGACTCTGTGCAAAATATCTGATAAAAAAAATAACTTTACTACTAATGAATAAATTCAAAAAATAATTAAAATGTTATTAGAAGATAATACAAACTGTTCAACGAAATTTGGAATAGCAAAAATCATTTGCATTACACTGTTCAAGTAGCAGGAGCTTCCTAAGTTTATTAATCCAGCATGATTGGCATTACATGGTGATAACTGATTTGTTTGCTCTTGCTGGGCAATCCATTCACCAAACTTTTGATTTAAGTCTAATTCCAACTCAACCATTGATTTTTCAGTTTTCTCCATTTGAGTAATATTGATACCCCAGTGAGCTAAATGCACAGCCAGATTAGGGTCTTCAACCATGTCATCTTCATCGTATGAATATACGTCAGCTTTTCCATCTCTTGAAATGGTACCCAATTTGACAGCCAACGGATAATTAGTATTTTTATAATGCTCAACTGCATGATCATTGCCTCCAGTTCCATCATAGAATTTTCTTCCGCACAAAATTGATCCATCAGTCAAATTCAACCATAAATTATTTGTAAGATCACAGTTGATATTTTCACATTTCCAACCACTCGGTGGTATTTTTTTACCATTATTTAGTTGTAGTAAATTTGTATGCCTGCATAAATCAATTAGGTTTAGCCTCTATTCAAAGTAATAATCTATATAAACTCATAAATCTGAAAAAAAAATTGTTAATACTTGGTGGTTATTCTGGCTTCTCCATCCCATGTGCTCAGAGCTTCTTTTTCTGCAACTCTGAAGGCTGATTCAGCTTTCAAAATACCCTCAACACAAACTTGAACCTGTATAGAAAATGTAAAATAATAATAATGATACAAAAATCATATTATTTGCAAGAGAGTTCACTATAACTTACCACTTTTGGAAGTTTTTCAATATCATGAGGATAGGGAAAAGTGTGAATTTTCATATCAGTCACCACAACAATCTCATATTTTTCTTCATAACGAAATTGGGGAGAATCCGGATTAAAACCATCAGCAACTCCAATAGCTAATCGTGTAACTTTAGATTCAGGTCCATCTGATTGTTTTTCTATTGGCTATAATAATAAATATAATAAAGAATTTTTATATTGAAGATAAACAATTTTGCTGCAGCAAAAACTTACATGCTTGAATCTTTTAATATTTAAGAAAACATTATTTCCTGTTTTGGAGGTGTATAATTTCAAAAAATCCTTTGAAAATCCTTTGAAAGTTGTTAAGCATATAAACAAACCATCTGGACTTTCCTAAAAAAATTAATGATATAAACATAAAATAATGCAATAGTTAATGATAATGTAATAATATTAGTTAGAGTACAAGAATACATACGGGATTTTCGAAAGAGAAAATACATTCATCTTTATAAACTTTATCATTGGGGTTTGGTTGCTTTAATTTATGTAAAGAATTAGTTAATTCTTCCATTTTGTCTCAATGATAACTTGTGATCTGGAAAATTGTCAACAAAAGTTAAGAAATAAATCGACGCTCTCATCTAAGCATTGACTATAAATGGTGGGCGAAATGATGTCGCAAGTTAGCAAGTCTTTCTGCGAAAAATTTTCGTTTACATTTAGCAACGCATAACCTACAATACAAATGTCTAAAACAAAAATAGATGATCTACAGATTTTAGCTAAAACTTGACTAAGAATTTATTTTAAAGAAGACAGATTCAATTTAAGTTTTCAAAATATAATAGCGATAATGAAAATTGTTCTCAGTACCTAGTTAAATCGACAGGTAGTGATAACAACCTTGTACTGTCCCACTCAATACAAAAACATTTGCAATCAACGTACACACAGAATACAGCTCATAAATTTACGAAAAACGTTTTTTTTTCGCAAATCAACTGTTTTATCGATTAGAATGTCACGATCAGTCAGATTTTTGTTACAATCTCCTGTTCTGTCATGTCTTCTAAAGTCCAAACAATAGATCATCGAACATAGCGACAAACGTGAACCGCGAAATGTAAAAATACATTTTCTTAGACTTCTGATGAATATTTACTTTAATCGCTCTGTAATTAGTTTTTTATTAATATTCTAAGATATTTTAAGTTTAAAAAAAATTATCTGTAAAATACTCGAAAAAACAAAGTTGAAAATGGTATTTTTTACCATGGTTTCTTTTTTACACGTTCCCTTCAGAATATTTCATTTTCTGTACTATACGTAATGTCTAAATTTTAATTGAGTGTTATAATCATTTCGTTTCGAAAGCTTTCATGTAGTAATTCAGAAATTTTGAACATCGACATTAAAGAATTTTTATTATTATCATTAAATAACGTAATTTGTTTTAGTCTTATGATATGAATTGAAAATGATTTATGAGTATAATTCAAAAGTTTTTTAACTCTACTTTGAATTTAAGGGTCTCCTCACAGTCGCTTTTTCAAATTTTAAGAGAAGGAAGTAAATTTACTTATTCAATTTCTAAATCTTGCGTGTGGTATTTAGAAACAAGATTGTCGGTAATTTTTTATCTCGGCCGTAATATAAAAGCTTGAATATCAAAAAAGCAGCTAAACTTGTCACTGACAAGGTTTGTGACATTCCGGAATAACTATATACGCAGCCGGCGATTCGGCGTTTCCTGCTTTCTTTAGCTCGCTCCTATGTTGCCTTCGTCGCTCTCTCAGCTCGTTCATTTCACTTCAGGGAGGTCAACGGCTGGCCATGTGGCAGTAGTGGTCTTACAGTAGCTTGAATCGGTTAAACTCAATTTCACTTTAAAGTAATCTTTTACGTTATCATTTACAAAGTAATTCCATACGGAGTTATTTTAATACTTTTGTTCCATTCATTTTCTCTTCGACTTTTCGAGCTACTCAGGCCAACTAACAACTTTGGTTTCTGCAAGGTAATAATAAATTTTTTATTGATGTTTAGGTTATAGAACGGATTTTTCGTTATCCTTGAATATCTCTTCACATCATAATATTCGCTTCAAGAACTCATGTTAATATCATTTTTAAATAGGTTCTTTTTACGTTTCTTTCAATATTTATATATTTCAAAACTAATTAATCTTGGTATTTACACTTCTCATTGAACTTGCACATGATGACAAAAATACACCGTAGAATGAATAAGATGATTATTCTGTTACATGCACTACCAGCTGACGTATTTTAAAACCAATAGAATATAAACATGATAAGAATTAAAACCAAAACTAATGCTTTTGTATTTTGTATGTTACAGGTACATTCTGGATGATTGAGGTGAGAACGTGAAGCTTTAATTAAAATAGCATTAAAATATTCTTTGTTGATTGTGAATTAAATGTAAATAAACTTGTAAAACAATTTTTTATTTGAATAAAAGTGTTAGAAAATAACTCATTCATATTTTCATTGCAGTGCCATTTCCTTCATCAATTGATCGGCTAGTAAATTAGCAGACAGATGTCATAGTAATCTTATTGAATATTGAATTAACTGTTTCATAACAAAGATTAGTAGCTTAGCTGGACTCTGATATTATTTCATCTATAAGTAAAAAAGTAATTAATTACAATGAGTACCATATTGGAAAAAATAGCAGCTATTGAGGCTGAGATGGCAAGGACGCAAAAGAACAAAGCGACTGCTGGCCATTTAGGGTTGTTGAAAGCTAAACTTGCTAAGCTACGTCGTGAATTGATCACTCCAAAAGGAGGCGGCGGAGGTAGTGGTGAGCAAGGTTTTGAAGTTGCCAAAACTGGTGATGCCAGAATTGGATTCGTAGGCTTTCCATCAGTTGGGAAATCAACGTTACTAAGTACGCTTGCTGGGGTATACTCAGAGGTTGCGGCATATGAATTTACAACTTTAACTACAGTTCCTGGCTGCATTAAGTATAAGGGAGCTAAGATTCAATTGCTTGATCTTCCTGGTATCATTGAAGGTGCCAAAGATGGCAAAGGTAGAGGAAGACAAGTAATTGCTGTTGCAAGAACTTGCAGTTTAATATTTATAGTTCTTGATGTGCTTAAGCCTTTAGGTCACAAACGTTTGATAGAACATGAATTGGAAGGTTTTGGCATACGTTTGAACAAACAGCCTCCAAATATACACTTTAGAAAAAAAGATAAAGGAGGCATCAACTTACAAACAATGTGTACTCAGTCTGAACTGGATTTAGATACTGTTAGAACTATTTTATCAGAATATAAAATTCACAATGCTGATATTACTTTGAGGTATGATGCTACTTCTGATGATCTCATCGACGTTATTGAAGGTAATCGCATCTACATCCCTTGCATATACCTTCTTAACAAAATAGATCAAATAAGCATCGAAGAACTTGATGTAATTTATAAAATACCACACTGTGTTCCCATATCTGCTCATCATAAATGGAATTTTGATGATTTATTGGAGAAAATGTGGGAGTACTTGCATCTTGTTAGAATTTATACAAAACCAAAAGGTCAATTACCTGATTATAACTCACCAGTAGTTCTTAATAGTGAAAGACGAAGTGTAGAAGAGTTTTGCAATAAACTTCACAGAACTATTGCTAAAGAATTTAAGTACGCTCTTGTTTGGGGTTCTTCTGTAAAACATCAACCACAAAAAGTAGGAAAGGACCATGTTTTGAATGATGAAGATGTTGTGCAAATTGTTAAAAAAGTTTGATACTTTCTCAATTATAAAAAACTGTGGTACATGAACGTTTACATAATAAAACTTGAAGAAAAGTTTGCTCCATATAGTAATATCGCGCTGACTGTAGTTTTTATTGATACAAAATTTAGCTTGGTATAGTTTTTCTTCAAGTTAAGATTATACGAATATTCCTAATGAATAACCCAAAAATTGTTAAATTGAGAATTTTATTGTGAAAATAATTATTTTTCAAAATGATTCAGCAGCTACGTATCGTTTGAAATGAGCTTCATACTTCATCTTCGTGTTGAATGATTAATGCTTGGATTTCATAATTCAAAATTCTGTAAATAATAAAATATAACTCGATTCAAAATTTGGTGTAGTTTTTATTCATTCCTTCATGTACAAGGTACTTAAGTATAAGGTTTGATACAAAACAACAATTCATAGCAGTAATTTTTCAATTAAATTATTTTCTTTGAAATTCGAAATCAAGTGTGATTTAATTAATCTTTAATGCAAACAAACTTGTAAAATTTTAAAAAAGTAACATTTAATAAAACCATTATAGAATTCAAATTTTAACAAAATATTTCGAATAAGTGATAAATGAAAAATAATTTTTAATTTAAATTTTAATATTTTTTATTGTCATTATTGAATTTTACTAAAAATACAACAGAAGAAGAGAATTTTTGTCAAATGAATTACAAAATTTTAACTTGATTTATTGAAACTATAATTGTAATTGCTTAAAAATTATATTTACAAATATTTTTGTAATACAAAATAACTTCTAACTAGTTGCTGCATCGTACCTCATCACTGGGTAACTGATGTTAAATTTGTATGTGTAAGTGAATAAGCTTATCACAACAGAAAAATATTAAAAATTTAACGTTATTCTTAATTATTAATATTTTTGAAGAAAGTATTTTGTACAATACTGCCATTGCATTTATGAAAAGTACTGCATGATGGGTCATGGTATCGATTGATATATCTACATCTAAAATTTTTTTTACAGTACAATTCAACTAACATGAGAACACTCTTGTTTCAATGTTATGAAAATTATTTTGATGAATTGTACGTGCTTATGCTGCCAAATTATACACAAGGTTGCATTAGTTATAACAAAATTCTTACAGTCTTTTTACAAATAGAGATAAAGTTTTTGGTATTCATATCCAATTAGTTAACATTACTATATTCTTTAATAACAATTATACTAAGTGTTGAGACTCTGTGCCAATAGTATGTTATAACCGGTTTGCTAATTTAAAAACCTTAAAAGTTTCTAAAAGTTAATTTTAAACATTGCAAACAGTAAAAGAGATATAGTCGCGAATTTATAAAATTACACAAAAGTTATATACAATTTAAAGTATATTTGAAAAATATTTTTTAAATTTTCGAGAACAGATATTATCAGATCTAAAACAAGATATTTTACTAAGGCTTAATAATAAATCTCGAACGAAAAACGGCTTAACACGATTTGCTAAAAATAATACCAATTATATAATTCATTCTCATATTGAATGCGTTTTTAATTTCTAATCTCTACTTTATACAAAATATAGACCATTTGGTCTAAAAAATCTAACATACAATAAAGTATTAAATGATTTATAGAATGTTATTTTTTCGCAACTCGATTTACATTACAGTATAAAATGGAAGATTTTTTCAATGATTAAATCATATGTCCATATACAAAGCATCGTTGCTTTTATACAGTGAGTATAAATAACTTATTTGCATTAAAAAGATTTAGAAATTATAGACTAAAACCTTTGATATAGACTGATAACACAAGTACAACAGTGTGTTGATTTATATTCCTTTACGAGTAATGAATTCATACTTTCATTTTTTTTTAGAAATTCACAATAAACCGTTGAACAACGTACAAAATCCGAAACCGATAAAATTTTTTAATAATATATCAATGAACTGTAATCATCGACAAATACATTATAGAAATTTATACACCAGCGATCGAAAAAACGTATTGACCGGCATAAGTTTCTTCCCAATCTTGAGAGATTCTTAATAACCATTGTCCAGAATATTAACGCTTAAATGTACTTGCAACATTCAATTCAACATAAATTCATATAAAACGCCGCCTGATTTACATACTTTATTTTTACAACCATTCGGTATATTCCATCAGTGTCAAATGCCTCTATTATATTGAACAGAAAATTAATCGCATCGTTACTTGTTTTATTTTCTTACGAACGAAAATCTACATATTCATAGTACAACGATCTAGTTAATAGTGTTTATATAATAGATCATTTTGTTTCGTTTATTTATATTTTTCCATTTCCAATGACTGTATGAAGCTCCGTTGTTTGTGCTGTCAATACGAAATCTAACTGACTACATTTTTTAGTACCAGCAAAGTGATTTTCAAAATATCGTAATATAAATACGTTATAATAAATATTTCATAAAAGTAGAAAAAGCTTCAACGACTGGACAATACTATTTATACGAAAATTGGCTCGTGCGCATTTTTTATCGCAGCATTCGAAAACGCTACGGAAGTAAATAATGCCTCAATTTTATGAAAAACCGCAAGTTTAAATAATTCCTGGGCGATCCGGTATCATAATTTCATTTCCCAAAGTACAATATGAGCATCATTACTATTAGGATCTTTGAGAGAGTGTCCAGACTTTTGATTTTTGTCTTCTTTTGAAGAGACACCTACGTGCCTCCAGTTTACGTATCCTCGACCTCCCATAAGAGTTAGAACCGTGCGCTTCGGTTGATCTAATTGACTGGTTTTACTATTAGCTTGGGTTTTAATTGATTGATTATTCGCTGTTTTACTCATTGTTTTAGTATCTATGGGTGTACTTGTACTTTGGGGCGTTTGTGCTTCTATCTGTTGTTGTGGTTGTTGTGGTTGTTGATGTTGTTGATGCTGGTGTTGTTGCTGCTGCTGAAGTTGGAGTTGTTGTAACTCTTGTTGAGGTCCATTGCGACTTGCATTACTACTATTTCGTGACAATTTTCCTGCTTTTAGCGACAAATTTTCTTCGGAGCCAGATGATGTGTATAAAGAACTTGCATGAGAATCTACAGACCAGTTGGATAAATCTAGTGAACGTGGTCTCGTAATTTTCATTTTAAGACGTCGATCCAATGTACTGACTTTGTTAGGAATAGCAAGTTCCGGGTCTGAACGTCTCAAGGTTTCATAAACTGGATCGATAACGGCTCCGTTCTCATTATCATAATCCTTCAAATTCATCAAATCACCATAAAGTCCATACACATCGCAGTTTTCTCCAGAGCTTTGAGAACTGGACATGGAACTTGATAAAAATCCACCACCACAACCTATGAAAAAAAAGATTAATATTTCTTCATCATAAGAATTAATTGATAAATGTAAAAATACGTTACCTAAACCACGAGGTAAAGTTTTTGAGCCTCTGTATTCGTTTTCTTTGCTACGTTTTCTTCTCGACATAACTGGACTATTGGCAAGCTGTTGTTTAAATTTGATCATATTAGCTGACATGTTAGAAGCATTGGATGCATCGAGACTGGCTCTATCGCTTTTTTGCTGCTGTGCATGACCATTTTGCTCAGAAACGTCTTTGTTCCTCAGTTGAACTTGTTCTTCTTCGGGTTCTTCATCTTTAGGATAGCCCATGCTGCTCTTGCTCATATTTTGAATGGATAACAGGAAAGTAATAGGTCCAAAATGCGCGTGGTACGAAATATTAACTCTGCCACTAATAATCGGTACACCTTCCAATCTTGGTAATGGAATGGTTAAACTGATGCCAACATTAGTTCCAACCCACAGCAAACCTTTGCACGCCATAAGAGACGTTACAGTAACAGCAGATTGATTATTGTTGAGATTGTCGCCACTGTTGGAATTGCAGCTCCCTGATTTTGTGATACGAAGTACATTAGATGCAATATTGATGTCTTGCAAGTGCTTGAACGTCTCCGTGTGATACAGACAGACAGTACTCGAATTTTTTAGAGCAACCCAAAGACCAACTCCCGAATGAGCCATAAGTTTAACATTACCCACGTGTTCATGATGCGCATTGAAACTCTTTGTACTTTCGCCAGTCATAGCATTTAATACCCAGACTTTTTTTCCACAAGCGGCATAAACCGATGAGTTGATGGGCATTAGACACGCGACTGGATCGGTACCTAAGCCAATGATGGATGGTTCTTTAAGATTCCAGGCGCCATCGAAGTGTCTTTTAAACATTAGTAAGGTTCCTGTGCCCAAAGCAACGAAGATATTGTCATAGTGATACTTGATTTGCACAACAGGTCCGGATACAGGGTAACTGCCGAGTTCCTCTTGTTTTTCAGGCTCTGATGCTGTATAGATAATAATTTTACGCGAATCCGTGCCCATCCAAACAAGATCCCCAGCTAAACAAGACGAATCACTGCTAAACCCTTTAACAAATTCAACTGAAGCCACTCGTGTCTCAACAAGATCGAATGAAGTGACTTGTTTGAGGGTTGTGGCTGATGTTCCTGTGCCAGAGGTTTGATTAAAAACTGTTACATGAGTGGAAACACCGTCATCCGTACAAATCCAGAGATATGATTGATGTCGACCCCGTCGCCTAGTTGGCCTTGGATTTTGGGTTACGTAATAACAGCCACATCGAACCTACAGATTTATGAATAAACAATTAGATCTTTTTCGAAATTTTAGTATAAATTGACATTTCGAAAATATTCTTACTTCAGTTTGATGTGGAGAATGATATACGGACTGCGAAGTAACAAACAGAGGCATTTTTGTGGACGGTCTTTGTTCTTGTTCGGGTACCTCCCAGGAAGGTGAATTGTTTGGATCTAACGCTAACTGAGCTAGTCTTAACTCAGTTATCCAGTCTTTTTTAACTAATGGATTTTCTGTTTGGAACGTGTACATCTGACCTTGCTTAGTGACTAATTGCAAGCAACAACTATCGGCCCACATCATTTCCTCGTTCTTAACTTGTATAGATCCTTGTATCCCTTGCAAAATTTGTTTTATCACATCCTGTGTCATCCCCTGTGTTGATGTAAAATTTAATCGTTAGCTTTAAGTTGCAAGAAGTAAAGTATGATTTAACGTAATAAATGTATTTATTACCTCGTAAGATCCTTTTAACTGAGAAACTAAATCACTGATTCTAGACATGACTTCGTAATCGTGCATAAGATCGTTCATTTCAGCGCCAAGGATATCGGCTCCTGCTTGTCCACCCTCGCCATTGCGATCACTCTTTAAGCTACCCCCTTTATTCAATCCTGCGGTCAAAAGTCGGCTCAACGTTGGTGAAGTGCTCGTGTCTTGTATCTACAAATTTTTGACAATTAAATATTCAGTTCAATTAAAAAAACATCATCAAATGCTTAATTCTCATTAAAAATATCGTACCTCTATGTCTGACACTGGATACGTCCATTTTAAGGTGAGTCTTTCGCTAGCGGAAAAATCTTCAGCCGACCTGGGTGTAACCGAAACACATACTACAAGATCGTTCAGAAGTAATAATCTTCGTCGTTTGGATTTAGTGATCATGCCATTTTGATTAAATTCCTATCAAATATGAAAATAATATTTTTTATCATTTGAAAGTTTCAATGCACATAGATTCTGGATTTATTATTTCATCGTATGAAGTTGGATAAGTAAAATGTTCTATTGGATGCAATGCCACCCGAGCATGACTCACTTGTAAGTTATACACAGATATAAGTATAAATGCTTGCAAAATCCAGAATCTCATATGCAGAGTTTCATATACAAAGTTACATGCAATGATTCATACCAGTTGCGTGACATTGTCCTCTCTTATAAGGTACCTCGAGGACGATGAAAGCGGCCGATGCGCGATTTTACCCGAGACGTGACGTAACATCTCCTTAAATGCTTGATACTGTTCGGCTTCACGCTTCCTTTCGTTCAACATCTCGGCTAAACTTTCTAGTTGGGTCAACGCTAATTGCAAAGACATGCGATCATGATGTCCTTGCGGTGTGTACTTCAGTAGGTCCTTTAAAATTAGAAAAATATTAGTAACAGTGCAATAATACTTTTGTTATACATGATGGGCTTTTTGCAATAACTCACTTGCAGAAATAGTATGAACTGAGGAAACCTTTGAACTGGTTTTACCATGAGACCAAAGAAAGATAATCTGTCGTGTGCACTGATTTGTTTAACCTGTAAAAATAATTATTTAATAGAGAACGTTAGAACAAAAGATTAATTTACTGAAATTTGAAAACGCTTGAAGTAATTTTTCAGGAGATTCACATTACATGTTTGGAAATTTGTAAGTTATAACGTAAATGTATGTGTAAGAAAATTTACCTTAAAAAAATCAGCCAAAGCTGTCTTGCGTTTTGATTCTTGCTTAGCCAAATCCATAGCGACAGAAAAATTATTGATGAAACCACTGTAGATGTCAAGAACAATAGCTTTACTGAAGCTTGCTACGAATACATCACCAAGTTTTTCGTCTTTGTCCCAAGATTTAACGCATTCAGCTAAAGCTATACGGAATAAAGTGTGGCACTGTAGAATTTCTGGTAAACGGTGGAAGAGCGTAGTAATTTTTGATTGGCTCAATATCGGTGGAGACGATTCCTCGAGTTCTTTTTTGTAATCCTGCGAAATAATTAAATAAATAAATAAATAAATAAATGATTAAAGATGAAGTCGCATTCATGTTGTTTATTAATCAAAAAAATTCTGAAACAAATTATTAAACTGGTTTCTAATAACTTGATTCACTTGTCAAAATATAGCTGAGTTGTTTTTACTTACTCAGATATTTAATTAAATATTCGTATTATAAATTGACATTTAATTAAGTCGGGTGATAAGTTTGTACTTTTTAGGCACAGACATTTTCTTATAGTAACTATTAAAAATCATACACAATTTGAAGGATTTCTAGTTATGGCTTAACTGTAATTTTTGTTATTAGTAAATAAATCTTGAAAATGCTTGTTGATGCATGACCGAGTAATCATATGCATACTATGCACGTTAGAATAATTCATGAATACACACAATCTATCACATATTGTTGTGGAAATATTATTGTGCTATGCGTCTTAGCTAAACTAATCTTCTTTCAATATATTTGTAATAATTTTTTTTTATTTGTTAATATCAATAGCTGCTAGGCAAGACGCGTGTATTCATATTTTACAGAACGTGTAAACGGTTATTAAGGTGATTGTGCAGCGGAATAATTAACAGTATCTAAATTCATTACTTTTCAAAACGCATTTATATTATACCCGGAATAATTTACTGTACATTACAAGCTGTTTAAAAATGAAGTCAATCGATCTAGTGTTCAACACTGAACTGTCTTTGCGAAGACGCATCTTTAGCAATTTTAAGATGTGATTAAATGAGAATTTATGAATATCTTGGCCAATCTACGTTGTGGAAAAAAAGTTTAATGTGAACACGAGTCGGAGTAATTTGGATATTTAACAATCAACCAAAAACTCTTGAGAAAAGGGGGAAAGAGAGAGAGAGAGAGAGAGAGAGAGAGAGAGAGAGAGAGAGAGAGAGAGAGGTGGAGTTGTTCAATACAATGAGATTATGGTGCCGAGTGAGCTTACATCGCACGAACACAGAATATATACGGTTTATATCTCGTGCATGCAGTGTATAAAATATACAATATATGAGCGTTAGGAGTGAGCGTAAACGTACATTGACGAGCCTCTGGAGCGTAGAGACGTAGCTGTTTTCCGAGTGCACGATGGCCGCGACGATGTGGCGCCGCTTGAGTTGCTGCGGTGTAAGATTGGAAGGAGCGGTTGGCAACGACGGTGGCGGCTGCTTCCTCGAGTGTATGCTTTGAAATTGTTGTTGAATGGATCCACTGCTTTCTTCCTCCACCTAATTGGGATAGTAATTATCGGGCTTGATAAAATAACATTTTCTATCTTTTTTAATAAGTGTCCGCTTTTTGACGAATATCTCAAGTATTTTCGTACAGTATTTCAATATTACTCAATTCAAATGACAGAACCGTTGAAATAATCCAATGACTCACAGGTTCGATCAATCTCTAATTTTACGAAATACTGCATGCCAAGTTCAATGTCAAAGAGAGATACCATCGAATAAATTATTTTCATAAATAGATTTTTTGTCGCTCCAACCGTTCTAAAATTGTCTCATAGATTTATTACCGATCATTTAAAGTTATTCACAATCTTATGTCTCATTTGTCACCAAAACATTGAAATACTGCTTCAATGATTCATCAAAAGTTATGCTTAACTTGAGAAAAAACTCACCTCACTAAGTTGCGGCATTTGTGGCACCTTCATGGGACTGGACAAAGAGGCGCTATCAGTGGATGACGTATCGACGTCATACTGATGAGCTGAATTGCGTCTGATGCTAAACCACCGAGCCAACATCCTCGTCTGATTCGACGAGCTGTCGACCGATTGCTCTATATTCTGCTGTTGTTGCTGCTGATTTTGCTGCGGTTGTTGCTGTTGCTGCTGTTGTTGTTGTGGTTGTTGTTGTTGTTGTGGTTGTTGCTGCTGCTGCTGCTGTTGCTGTTGCTGCTGAGGCTGATGCTGTGGTGACGAATTTGATCCGATACTGATACGGATGTTTTGTGATCGCCATTTGTCACAAAAAGTTCGAGCCTTGTGCAAAGTGTTTCGCAGTTGGCAATTGCTCCTACAATAACAATTAGCTTCTTTAAATGCGCAAAATTATGTTAGCGTATTCGTTGATTTTTTAGTAAATTAACAAAAACTTGGAATTGCATTGAAATGAAAAAAAGAAATCGATGTTTATAAAATAGCAAGGAAAACTCATGCTACGTTGCTGCTTACTTTGAAATTATTCACGCATCTTGTATCACTTTTACATGTGCAATAAGCACACAAGTGTTTACAATATCAAGAAATTGACTCTATCACCTAAATATAGTTGGCAATGGATTTTCAGGTATGATTTTCGTTGTGCTTGACTTGTTGCAAGGCGCAAAAGATGGTCAATCGAAAAAGCTGTGATTTTTCGCTGGCAAATGTTAAGTGATCTCTGGACTAGGCGTTAACGACACGGACGTAAGGCGTTAATTAAATTAATGTACAGTCGTTTGAAACGATCCGGTGCAGCTGGACCGCATCGTGCATCGTTTCGCTTAAAAACATGTTTATTCGCATTTTACGAGCAGCTTGCGAGATACGCTTGTAATGCCTATACTACTCACTTAATACTGACGTTGCTCTTCTCGCTCTCGTCATCGGAAGACATGTCGTGATCGCTCGCGGAGCACCAGGAGTCTTCGCTTCTCACCGAATGAGTCGAGTTGTTGGAGTGCTGACGATGATGGTTGCTCTGGGCGTTGTGGTTATTGCGTTGTTGCAGCGGTGCCGTCGACTGCTGTTGCGCTTGCTGATGCTGCGGAGATTGCGTCTGTTGCTGTTGAGCCGCGGCTACCCCGACTACCGAGCTCGCGCCGCTGGACACTTGCTGCTGTTGCCCAGTAGCCGGTACTGCGACGACTGCGGTGTCCATTCTGCCGGGACCTACGTCATCCCAGGATCTACACCTCGAGCGCGGCTCATCTGAAATAATAATAATCAAATTGACGATCAGCCTCCAATTCCTTTGTCATCTCGAAGATTTTTAATAAAAGTAAAAACGATCATTTCACTTTGGCTAGAATATGGGATCATTGTAAATGCACGCAATAACCTACTAATGAAACAATGAAAAATCCACGTCTTACGGCATTACAATCTTTTATATGAAAATGTACACTGTACAGGGCTTAACTTTCACGTTTTAAATGTAATTGAAATTTCATTTCTGGTTATTGTTGTTGATCATAAAATATGCTACGCATAGTCAGCCAGTTTAAATTGAAAAAAGTCTATACTTAAAAAATATCAATATCCACCAAAATTGCAAAATCTGATATTAATTGACCTTTTATTCTATAAAATTGCACTTGTATACTGTACACATAATTGCTACATTCAATTGCTTGTGTAATAAGTTGAAAGGTACTAATACAGTCCTTATCTAAATTGCAATTTTATAGTTAAGCTAGAGCGGCTAAATAACGTTTAAAATCTATCATTGATTTAATTAAGTTTGACTCCCCGCTCACTAGAACGTTGAAAATTATACGTCCGAATGGAGAGCGAGACTTATTTCTTATCAGTTGGCGCAAGTGAATAACGCTGCAACACACAATAGCTCGTTAATTTTGCCTGACATTACCTTTAGCTGAGACATCGAATGGCCTACAATCTATAAAGGGGCTATATGCGAATGTGTATTCGCTAAGCCTTCGCGGAAAATTACGATCCAGTGACACCGAAATATTAATTTTTTCATTTATATTAGACGGAGACGTATCAAAATTCAGTAGTTCAATAACTAAAAGGAGTTGGCGAGCGTAGTATAACAAGTTGCTCAATAGCTCGATGCACAATGCATATTATACAGTCAGCGCGTGCTCGGCCTATAAGCATACGCGGTTGGTAATAATTTACTTACAAAAACCTAGGAACATTAAACTTTCAGTGCGTGCGCAATCATTTCTCGGACTCGTGGGGTCTCTAAAAGCATCGAATTTTGCACGCACAGTACCAGGTCGATTTTCACGCGCGTAAAACATACCCGAGGCGAGAGAAATAGAATAAAAAAAAAGCTTGCCATAGGTAAGGTAGCAAACAAGCAAGTTGAAGAAAAGCCTAGAACGACTCGGGCTTGCAAACAGTCGGTGCGTGGGTAGGCAGGTGACCAACAGGTTTTTCAACCGCATAACTATACGCGCGCACTATATATTTGTACGCGGCCGCTCGAGCTCGCATGCATTGACTCAGAGAGTGCGCAGAAAAGAGTATGAGATATGCTTAAATTTTTGTTGTTGTTGCAAGAGCTCGATTTCTACAAATCATCGAATGCCAAGACGCGTATTATCGGCGCACGGACAAGTTCGCGCTTTATGTTCGAGACTGATTCGATCAGGGACATAGTGTTACGAATTTTCGTTTATTTGCGGAGACGCAACGGTTACAAAAAAATGCAGAATGAAACTTCAACTCTTGAAAAGCTTACAAGAGTAAAAATATAAGTTGAAAGTATTGTGTCAAGTTATAAAATATAAGAAAACATAAAAAATGTAAAATTACTAACGATTTCGGACAGCCAATTCACTCGATTTTTTGACACTTTTTTTAATTTTCTGGGGGGAAGAGTGTGTGAAAGAGGAAGAGATGACGGCATAAATCAATTAACTCGTGTGAATATTTTTACGAGTGCAAACGGGTCCACTAGGTCAGTTTCATGCAATTCAATAGGGAAGCAAACATTTAGAGCTATGTAGGCTCACGCACTTTGAAATGTTCATCGCAAGAGTAAAGGAAAATTGCAGCGTCAAGCGATGGACTCTCGATTATGAATCTGCTTCGCGGTGTATGGATCGATGCTAATCGACACATCCGTATGTAATAATTTAAATCTTGGAAAGTCGCGGCGCAAATGAGCCTTAGCGTGCAAATAATAAGCCACGTTCGTGCGCATCGCGTCGTGTCCGAGGCGCGCTGACTGCGCTCGCGCACAGCCGCGGTATACGTCGCACGTACTTGTAACTTAACGAACGGCTCCAGAGGTGCTAGTTAGTGCAACAAACGCAACGAACGCAGCAAATGTACTCTACGGATCGGCGTACGTATATATAAATTCGAAACGCATGAGCGCGGCGAGCAGTGTCGTCGTCGCATATACCGTGCCTGCTGCTACCCGTCGACTCTGCCTGCGAGCAGTGACGGAAGTTTCTATTTATAAAAGTTTGCTTCCGCCGCACAGGCGTGAGCGTGCATGCGAGAGAGAAAGAGCGCTGTGGGCCGTTCTTTTCAGGAACACGCGAGTCTAGCAACAAGGGATGGGATGGTGCGCGCGCGCGTCAAAAAAGAAATTGCCTCGGCTCAATTTTCCGGACGCTTGGGCTTTTGTCTACTCGGCTTTTTCGTGACTCAGGCTTCCGCACCGGACGAGATATGGCGGCGCGGCGATCGCTTCGGACTTCAGAGCGGCAAAAATTCTATATGTGTATAATATATTCATTATCTGTAAGTGTGCCGTGTGCCGCGGACACGTGTATGTTATATCCATGCCATACAATGAGCACTACGGACTTTTTCAATGAATATAAATGAATCATTTTATTTAGAAAGATGCTCCAAAGTGTCGAGTTGTAGCGCGCGCTCTGATAGCCTTTTGTCGTTGTTCTGCGTATAGCATGCGCCTGTGCAGGCGCATTGCAAGCTGATTGAATGATGATGATGATGTTGATGCGATGATAGCTTTGACCTTGCTGTATATTTAAGTACAGGCGATAGCGAGAGCTGCGGACCAGCAAGAGTACATTGACTCGAGCCTGTAATGAGCCACATGACCACCGCATCTTTGTGCATTCAATATCTTCGAGGTGAGTTGCGGGATAGCTCGATATACAGCGCATGATAATCCATTTTTACGTGAGCTCTGAGATAATCGGCTTCTCGGGTATCGTTGCGACTTTCCATAGCGCGGATATGTGATCAAACCGTTGGCATACGTAACGCTCGCGTCGAAACTCTTTTTGTTGACCCCGCTAAGTGTTGCAAAAGCCCTTCATATCAAATTATCATAAAATCGGTTCAATGTGCACTTCTTTTCTCTCGGTATTTTGATCACCTTTGGCGATAGATATTTTATAAAACGAAATCGGTATATGCATCTACAAGTCGGACATAGAATTACGCAAGTTCGATTATTGCTCGACCATCGAGTGTCTCGCTGCTGTATCGACTCGTAATGCGCAACTTATAAAAGCTCTCCTTGCTTACCCGTCAATGTTCGTACGATACGACGCATCTCGTCTGAAAGGCCAATACCTCGACACAAAGTCTATATTTTATGCATGGTCTGAACTTTGTTAGTGGCAATGGAGTAAGATCGCCAAATCGAGACCGTACAATGACAGCACAGTCACCGATCTCAGCATTTTCGAATTTCACATAGACGTCAATCCATGTAGTAGAAAAACGAGCGAGTTTTGCTGGTGTCTGAAAAACAACGACTAGCATTTTTAACAATTCTCGAGATGCATAATTGAGTCAAAGATATAACAAAAGATGCGCGCAGCTGAGTACGGCGATACACTCGCAAAATGATTAATGAAAGCTTGATAAAGAGGAAGCGAGGAAACGAAAGGGATCATTATTCTTTATTTCTTTCCGAGGCCCGCATTCTTATATGAATACGCGCGCGCACGTATCGCGCACACAAGTGGTGCAGGGTTATTTTTAAACGACTGCTACTGTCGTCTTCATCGAGTATCATCGTTATAGCTTTCTCGGCTCGATAAAATATATATGTATTTATGTATTATATACATTATTTTCGTATATACGCGACCCTCGTACTATTAGTAAGACTTGTTCATCTGATAATGACATTAAGCTTGAATGAGACTAGAGTTCAACGTTTTCTGATGAGCGACAGCTCGACATCCCGACACAGTCGTCATAGCTTAAAAATCGCTTTCTTTGTCCAATAGAGTCATTTTCGATATATGTGCAACTGTAGCTGGCATACAATTTTCCCTGCGACATTTTTGCTCGTGAGCTCGGAGATATATAAATAAGCAATGATTTATATCAAAATAAAGATATACGCTGGCTGCAAAGGAGGTTCCCGTCTTGCAAGACGAGTTCGAATGCGTACGTGGCATGTACGAAAAAACAGTCAAAAAGTTGAAAAGTCAACGAGCAAAGGAGCGTGACGCCCTTTCAAGTGCGTACAGACACGGACGCTGTCGTCAGCAGTACCTATATCTACAATAGTAGTAACTTTTCGCGATAAACCTAAGAGTAAACGTATATATTTGGATATAAAAAGGCACGACTGGTACAGTGAACATAAAACACAGCCTCATATCCGCTCTACTGCTGAACTTTTTGAAAGAAATAATTTTCTGACATTCATGCTTGCAATTTTGCGCAAGATTTTGTTTAAACACGAAGAAAAAATAAGCAATTAAGCCTGCTGTAAAGACGTAGCACAATCAATTATTTTACACTGGGTGGTCTACGATTTTGATTGGCTAATTTTCCGGAGATACCAATTTCGCAAAAATTATGTTTTTTCAAGAATACAACACATTTCTTATTTTTATGATAGCAACTTGTGTCGTTTTGATGCATTTAAAGAAATAATGACGGATTTACTGTTTTTTTATAGTGGCCTTTTCTTTCGAAATTCATCATCATATTTATAAAGCTTTCGTAGCTTTGCAAATGAATTGCAATGGCACGAGAAATCATTTTCATAGCATTATGTAGTATTATCCAAAAGCTCGTATGTACCGCATTAGCAAATAAACATCGAGTTTTCCTTACTATTGAAATTCCTAGTTATCCCTTCGCTTAATTAGTGTTCGATGTGTCTAGTTTAAATATAATGACGGTGCACATTTATTGAAAGAAATTTCACGTGCAGCATCAAACGCGGATGCTTTGTGAAAAACTTTGACGATATCGAGCAATTTTCTACCGGAGTTATACTTCGT